TGTGTATGTGTGTTTGACCTGCGTGTATGTGTGGATATGTCCTACATGCATACCTAGTGCTTGCAGAGGTCGGAAGAGGGTGTCCTGTCTCCTGGAACTGGATTTATGAGTGGTGATAAAGATCTTGGAGAGAGCAGGAATACGAGGAACATACCTAAACATCATTAAGGCAATATATAGCAAGTCAACAGCCAACATCAAACTAAATGGAGAGAAACTCCCAGCGATTCCACTGAAATCAGGAGCAAGACAAGGTTGTCCATTCTCTCCATACCTATTCAATATAGTTCTTGAGGTCCTAGCTAGAGCAATAAGACAACAAAGGGAGATCAAGGGGATACAAATTGGAAAAGAAGAAGTCAAACTCTCACTGTTTGCTGATGATATGACAGTTTACATAAGTGATCCCAAAAATTTTACCAAGGAACTTCTACAACTCATAAACACTTTGAGCAATGTAGCAGGATACAAGATTAACTCAAAAAAAATCAGTAGCCCTCCTGTACACAGATGATAAAAGGGCTGGGGAAGAAATCAGAGAATCAACGCCCTTCACAATAGCCACAAATAGCATAAAATATCTTGGAGTAACTCTGACCAAATAAGTAGAAGACTTGTATGACAAGAACTTTAAATCTTTGAAGACATTAGAAAGTGGAAAGACCTCCCTCCAGACTCTGCCCCCCACCCAGAAAGCCGTCCAAATGATGACTCCTCCCCAGAAATGCTCATGACCACTCCCACAGGGTATTTTAACTGCCTCTCCCCGTGTTTTTCTGGACTTTCTTTCCTGTCTCCTCTTTGGGGGGCTGGAAAGCCACCCAGGAGTGTTTATATCCATTAAACCTAGGCTTTTTCTAATTCAGTTTGATTTGGTCTGATTTGGATTATTGCATCGGCAGAGAGGCTTATGGGATATAGAAACTTTTCAATGAATTCAATCCCCAGGATCCACGTGGTGGAAGAAAACTGATCCCTACTGACCTTGATGGGGTTGATGTGGCATGTGTGTACACCCACACACATATACCTGTATACACACAAATTTGTCAATAGAATTAAAAAAAGACTTCAGGTTGGATTGGTGAGATGACTTAGAGGGTAAAGGCACCCATGGCCAAGACTGACGGGTCCGTTCTCATTGGCAAGCCAGCCAAGTTCAAGTTCAGCTGGAGACTGTCAGCAGAGTGACTGAAGTGAGAGAAGACACCCCAACATCATCCTCTGCATGCACAGAGGAGAGGGTACCCATACCCAATACACACACCAACAATAAAAGAATTTTTATTTCATTTCATGTGTTTGGGTGTTCTACCTGTTTATGTGTGTACACCACATGTGCACCTCCCCAGAAGAGGGCACCAGATGCCCTGGAACTGGAGATACAGATGATCGGGAGCTGCTATGAAGGAACTGGGGCTTGAGTTCCAGCCCTCTGCAAGAGCAGCCAGCACTCTTCATAACTGATCCATCTCTCCAGGCCCCGTTTTATATATACAGCAAAAGAGCAGGACATAAAGACACAAAGACATGGGTACATGACTATAACCCCAGCAGTCTGGGAACAAGAAGACTGAGACAGGAAGATCCTGTCTCAAAAACAACAAAAAGATAAACCTAGGGTGGGGTGATAAAAAACAAAACTCTACTAAATCACTTACTGGGCAGACAATTTAATGCTAAGAAAAATGAATTTTAAGAATTATACAGGGCTGGAGAGATGGCTCAGTGGTTAAGAGCATTGTCTGCTCTTCCAAAGGTCCTGAGTTCAATTCCCAGCAACCACATGGTGGCTCACAACCATCTGTAATGAGGTCTGGTGCCGTCTTCTGGCCTGCAGACACACACAGACAGAATATTGTATCCATAATGAATAAATAAATATTAAAAAAAAGAATTATACAGAGGGGACTAGAGAGATGGTTCAGTGGTTAAGAATGCTGACTGCTCTTCTCTAGGACCAGGGTTCAATTCCCAGAACCCACATGGCAGCTCACAACTGTCTGTAACTCCAATTCCAGGGGATCTGACACCTTCACACCAATGCACATCAAATAAAGTGTTAAAAAAAATAAAGAGGGCATGAAGTTGGGAGAGGCATGTGTTGGGGGTTCTGGAGAAGGTCAAGAAACATTGTATGCATTATGGAATTGTCAAGAAAAAATTTAAAATACAATTAGAACAAGAATTATATAGAAAAAGTTATACGGGTCTAAGGATGCATTCAGTGGTAGAACTCATGCCCAGACTTGGGATCCACAGTCCTGTGTAGAAAATAAAAACATTACAAGAGCAGGATCCAGGGAGATGGCTGGAGAGATGGCTCAACACTTAACAGCACTTCCCAGCAACCACATGGCGACTCACAACCATCTGTAGTGAGATCTGGTGCCCTCTCCTGGCGTGCAGGCATATGCAGGCAGAACATTTTATATATAATATATAAATTTTAGGGGGCTGGAGAGATGGCTCAGGGGTTAAGAGCATTGCCTGCTCTTCCAGAGGTCCTGAGTTCAATTCCCAGCAACCATATGGTGGCTCACAACCATCTGGTGCCCTCTTCTGGCCTGCAGGCATACACACAGACAGAATATTGTATACATAATAAATAAAAATAAATAAATAAATCTTAAAAGAAAAAAAAAAGAGTAGTCTCCAACTGTGGTGGCAGAGCCTGTTATCCCAGTACTTGAAAGGTAAGGCAGGATATTGCCCACATAGGTTCCATCCTGGGCTACCTACTGACTTGGAAGCCATTTTAGTTATATAGCTAAACACCATCTCGAAACAAGCAAGAAAAAATGTTTTAAGCCAACAGTACACTTTTTTTTTTTTTTTTTTCGTTTTTCGAGACAGGGTTTCTCTGTGGCTTTGGAGCCTGTCCTGGAACTAGCTCTGTAGACCAGGCTGGTCTCGAACTCACAGAGCCTGCCTCTGCCTCCCGAGTGCTGGGATTAAAGGCATGCGCCACCATCGCCCGGCTAACAGTACACATTCTTAACTGCTGAATCATTTCTCCAGTTTTATATAGTGCCAGGGATCGAACCTGGGGGTCTCTCTCTCTCTCTCTCTCTCTCTCTCTCTCTCTCTCTCTCTGCATCTCTACTTACTCTTCTCTTCTCCCCTCCTTTCCATAACCACTAAATAAACATCCAACCTCACTCTGCATGGGCATGCATCTCCCTACCCTGGACCAGCCACTGCAAAGGGACCTGCAGCTAGCTGTCCCTGCCTGGGACTGGCTGCTCTCAGGGCCTGCTGCTACATGGCCCGCTACCACCGCTTGGGGACCTGCAGTGTTTCTGCTGCCTGCCGCATTCTTAATCCTGCAGCATTTTTAATAATCCATTTCAATTATCTAGATTCTGAGCATCAAACTCAAGTTGTCAGGCTTGGAGGCAAGTGCCTTAACCTACCTAAGTGTTTTCACCAGCCAACAAAGGATTTCTAGTATTATTAACTGCGTTAGATCTCCATCCCTTACAGTCAACATCTTTTCATAATTCTGTGGAGCCTAAACAGTAATGCCTGCTTGGGACGCTGAGGTAGGGGGAATCACAAGTTCAGGACCTGCCTGGGCTACGGGGTGAGTACAAGGAGAACATGGACCACCTAGCAAGACTTTATCTCAGGAGAAACTTTTCAAAGACTGAACTATAGCTCAGTAGTAGATCACTAACCTAGCATGTGCCTAGGTTCAGTTCACAGTTGTGTATGTGTGGTGGAACTTTGCATGGTAGTAACATCCTAGGCAGTGAGGTTTTTTATTTACTTTGTATTTTTAAAAATACTATTTAAATTTGTGTATGCAAAATGACTGTCAAACCTCTAACCAAAGCCCCCTCAGTGCTGGGATTAAGTGTGGGCACCTATTGTCAGGTTGACTTGTCTATAAACTGTCTTATTTTTATTTATTTCCAAGACAGGGTTTCTCTGTGTAGCTCCTACTCTCCTGGAACTTGATCTGTAGACCAGGCTGGCCTCAAACTCAGAGATCCACCTACCTCTGCCTCCCAAAAGCTCTGATTAAAGGCACACATTACCATGTCTTGCTTGTTTTATTGGTATGTGTATGCTTGTGTGTATGTCTGTATACCACATGCATGTAGTGCTTATAGAAGCCAGGAAGAGGTATTGGATCCCCTAGAGCCGAAGTTGTGAGCCTCCATGTGGGTGGTGGAAAGAAAACACCAGTCCTCTGGAGGAGCCTATACTCTTTAATCGCTGAGTCACCTCTTCAGCTGTCCTTAAATTCTTTATTGTAGCGGTTAGTCAAGATCTCAACTGTACCCAAGTAGAGAGGGGACTGACTGCAGCTTCACTTCACAATCTCCACTGTTGATGACAAACCCAGGTATCATTTTCTCCAGAACTTTTTTTTGTTGTTTTGTTTTTTGAGACAGGGTTTCTCTATGTAGCCCTGGCTGCCATGGAACTAGTTCTGTAAACCAGGCTGGCCTCAAACTCATCTGCCTCTGCCTTCTGAGTGCTGGGATTAAAGGCGTGTACCACTACTGCCCTACCCTCTAGGGATTTTTTGGACTAATTGGACTCAACTGTTCAGTTAAAATTAGATGTGGTCATTGGTCCCTTTAAAAAGCACTTCAGACTGTTCTAGAACACACTGTGAAATAGTATCTATTATGCTTCTCCATTAAAATTAAATTCCTTGACGTGTCAGAGCATGTTTAATAATCCCTCTACCAATGAGTGACGAACCCAAACCTTATTTTAAAACAAAATTTTGTTGTTGTTGAAGTGTGTGTGGGGGGGGTCTCACTATATCATACAGGCTGGCCTTGGACTTGAGTCCTGTTTCAGTCTCCCTAAGTGCTGGGATTACAAGTGTATACCAGCAAGTTTGGCTCTAACATACGTACTTTATTAAGGAATGATGTTCTAGTCTGCAGGTTTCAGAAAGCACTCGTCACAATAGATTACTAAGGAACATAAAGCTTGGCTTAATATTAAATTTCAAAGTATATGAGTGAAACGACATATTTACGTAAAATTTGTAACATTTATTTAAGCAAAAAAAAATCCCAATTTGTACATACAACATTAATACTTAAGTACTGTTCCACTTGAATATACAGCATGATTCATGTGCAGAATACTCTTGCTCACCAGCCCATAACCAGAATATCTTTAGCCCAAACAATTCAGGATTGTTGTCTGAGATATACACATTCAGTTTCCTGATGGGTTTCCTTGCCTTGAAGAGGTAAACGCACAGGAGTTCAAAGAAAAGACAGTTTTTCATATGCACAAGTTTAAAATTTGACAGAGGAATCCTGCAGAATCAAAGATTTTATTTTGTCATTAATCACTTATTTTGAACTTTGCAAACAAGGTTTTTCTATGTAGCCCAAGATGGCCTGGACCTCACTTAGCAGCTCAAGCTGGCCTCCAATTCAAGACCCTTCTGCTTTGTCTCCTCAGTGTGGACATGAAAAGTTGGTGATTCATTTTGTTATACTTCTCTATTTAACGTGGGGCATGAGTGTGTACATAATGCATACGTGGGCTCAGAGGACAACTTGTGGGAGTCAGCTGGCTCCTTCGACCACAGGGAAGGGAGCTCAGCCTTGGCAGCAAGCGCCTTTACCCATTAAGACATCTCACTGGCCCACACAAGTTGGTGACTGAAAAAAGATGTTTCTGCAGACTATCTGAGAAATTTTGACATTCTTTAAGAGGAAAAAAATGTTCCCAAAGATTTCCTTTTATGAAAAGTGTCTCAACTTTCATTATTTCAAAAACTTCTTGCTTCAAAGTTGATTAAAATAAGATTAAGAATCCGGTGTAATGGTGCACACCTTTAATCTCAGCATTTGGAAGGCAGAGGCAGGTGGATCTCTGTGACAGATCCAGGCCAGCCTGCTGCTCTACGGAGCGAGTTCTAGGACAGCCAGGGCAACATATTAAGACTCTTGACTAAAAATAAAAAATACAAAGGAAGAGGCAGGCAGATCTCTGTGAGTTCAAAGCCAGCCTGGTCTCCAAAGTGAGTTCCAGGAGAGAAACCCTATCAAAAAAGCAAACAACCCTCCCCCGCAAAAAAAAACAACAAACAAAATCCTTAAAAGAACTCAAAGTTTTCCGTAGAGTAAGCTCAAAATCAAGTCTTTACCATTAATGAAATAGATTTATGATCTGCCACAAAATAATTTTGATAAATCTTGAAAAAAATATGTATAACTGGTTTTTCAAGACAGAGTTTCTCTGTGTAGCCTGGCTGTCCTGGAACTCACTCTGCAGACCAGGCTAACCTCAAACTCAGGGATCTGTCTCCAAGCCCTGGGATTAAAGTCATGCACTACCACACCCAACTAACAATTATATGTATGTATGTAAGTGTGTGTGTGTGTTTTGAGACAGAGTTTCTCTGAAGCTTTTCGAGCCTGTCCTGGAACAATTATATTTTTGGGGGTGGGATATTTTTATGTTACCCAGGCTCATCTTAAACTCACATCTCACTTAAGTCCTCAAATTTAAGTACTCAAATGATCTTACCTCAGCTTCCCTGGCATCTGAGAATATAGGGGAAGACAGTATAGACCTCACAATCTTCCTGCCCCAGCACTTGCATGTTAGGTTACAGCATATGTTAGCACACTGCCTGGCATGTTCTTACCACTGGTCTGACTGTCAGCTAGGCTGTGCTGTCCTAGAAAGCCATCCCCTCAGCACAGTAGTACATTTTCTTTTGTGTGTGTGTGTGGGGTGTCTCAAGACAGGGTTTCTCAAAACTTTGGAGCCTGTAGACCAGGCTGGCCTCTAGCTCAGAGATTGGCTTATCTCTGCCTCCTGAGTGCTAGGATTTAAAGGCATGAGCCACCACTACTGGCTATGAATTGAGTTTTGCATACTGTATTTTTTTTTAAAAAAAAAAGTAGGGCAGTGGAAAGACAGAAAATGTTTTTTAAAGGCTATTGTCATCACAGTCTCTTGGGTTAAGATTTGGAAACAAATGCATGTACCACAAAGTATTGCCACATCATGCAAAGTCGGTCCATGAAATTCTAAGTAATATAAGCCATGACACACACCTAAAACCCAACTGCAAAATTCTCTGTCACACTCTATTCCTATCACTAGTGGGTTTACACATCACTAATATGGACATCTCTCCAGAAGCAGTCTCAGCAGTTCTGAAGCCCAAACATACAAACTCTTTGCATAAATATGCAGATAAAGCCAGAAGAGCCCTTATTAGCCGACAGTAAGGCACTGCCTTAACCTGTCTTCAACTTATTTACACTGTTTAAATCACAACTAACCAACTAATAAAAGTATGCCATCAGAGAGGAGACAGGTTGCAGGTTATCATGTACAAAATGGTTCGTTCTGTTACCTCTTCTCCCCTTTGCTCTGAGTACTGTTACACACTGTTCTGGGCAGAGGATTTATTTTAAAACGTCACACCTGGCTTGGTACACTCCTATAATCCCAGCACTCAGAGGGCTAGGGCCAGCCTGGAAATATATATATCCAGACTCTTATCTCAAAAAGGCAAAAATAAGGGCTAGAGAGATGGCTCAGCGGTTAAGAGCACAGACTGCTCTTCCAGAGAAGCCAGGTTAAATTCCCAGAAGGCAGTTCACAACTGTCTGTAACTCCAGTTTCAGAGGATCTGACACCGTCACATAGACATACATGCGGGGAAAACACCAATGCACATAAAATCATTTTTTTAAAAAAGGCAAAAATAGCTGGGGGTGGAGGTTCATGCCTGTAATCCCAACATTTAGCATGGGGAGGCAGCATTCAAAGACATCCTTAGATACATAGTGAGTTTGAGACCAGCTCGGGGTATGTAAGATCCTGTTTCAAATAAAAAATGAAGCAAAACCAAAAACTAAGCCAAACTTACTGTTCACTAAGTCACCCCAATTTTGTATATTTAATGTGTTCAGTAACATATACCAAAAGGGGGGAAGTATGGTTGAAGAGCATCAAAGACAGACCAGTGCTGTCTCAACAGTCATGCTGAAGTGACTAACAGTCAGGAAGGTGGTACGGTGGTGTGTTTGGGGCTCACAGGCAGGATGGTTGAGAGTTCTAAACTAGTTCTGGTTACATGAAACAGAACAAAGAAAAAAAAAACAAGTAAAAAATATAAAAATTGAATAGGAAGACAACAGGCCAGCATAAAAGGACTCATTCCTAAGAGAAATATCATTACCTGGATTTATGTGATTGATGCAGTTTTTGTTTTGACACAAGGTCTCCCTGCATAGCCCTGGCTCTCCTGCAACTATGTAGATGAGACGAACCCTAAACTCACAGAAATCCTCTTGCCTCTGCCTCCCAAGTACTGGATTAAAGCCGTGAGCCACCAATCATGGCTGGTTAGTGGTTTTAAACATGGACCTTTGATTCTTTAGAAACAAAAAATAGAGAAGCGAACTCCCAGGGCGGTTTTCATTCATCCTGAGTGGGTGAACTCGCCTGCCAGGCTAACAAACAGCAACAGTAATGGTCGACTTCTGAACCTGTGGGTCTGATAGGACTCTCTTAAACCTTTTAAATCAGCTACAATCAGTAGTCACTGTGTCCACCCCATTACTTCTTGATTTATGGTTTTATTAAGATTTTTAGTTTTCTGATAGTAGGAATTTAACTCAGAGCCACTCACTCTAGTACTGAGCTGAGTTACACTCTCAACCCATGAGAAAAAAGTCAGAGTATAAAGACCACAGCAAAACTGACTTGATGCAGCCGGGCGGTGGTGGCGCACGCCTTTAATCCCAGCACTCGGGAGGCAGAGGCAGGTGGATCTCTGTGAGTTCGAGGCCAGCCTGGTCTACAAGAGCTAGTGCCAGGATAGGCTCCAAAGCTACAGAGAAACCCTGTCTCGAAAAATTAAAAAAAAAAAAAAAAAAAAAAACCTGACTTGATGCACAAACACCAGATGCTTTGATCTGCTATACTTTGCTTTATTCGATTACAATCTTATGAAGTCTTATTTCATTTCCTTGCTGGGCGGGATGCTGGGGACTGGACCTGGGACCTTGTGCATGTATTTCCTTCAGCTGACTCAAGTGTTGCTACTCAATGGCTTGTGTCTGAGTACACTGATGGGTTCAACAAGGTCATTCAGCTTAGTCTAAGCTGCTTGAAAGCACACCCCTAAGCCAATGACTTTGGAAGTACCAAGTACTTCATTATGGTCCTCAATTATGAAGGAGAGGCCTGTTAGAGATTTACTATATTTACTATATTTTGGCTATACTCAGGATTTAGCTATATTCAGCTATTTTCAATTAGAATTGAAAATCCTGTCTTGATGACAGCTTCCAGAACCATCACAGAGCCAGACACAGCAGCATGTGCCTGGAATCTTAGCACTTACTCAGAATTGTCAGCTGAGTGGGATCAAAGTAGACCACAGCCCTGTATCTATACTTAGTGAGACGCTATCTCAAAAACAAAAACACACCACTCCCCAACAACCAAAAATCAAAAGCACAGAGGTGCTAACATCTTGATATATTTGGGATGTGAACAGTTTTTGTTTAGGTCTGGAATGAAGTCTTGACTGACCTGTGAAATATAAACTGAAATGTATTTGAGTCTTCATGTATCAGGTTACTGTGAAAAATTCTGTAGTTTTGGCTACTCTTGTTCTGCTTCTTGAGACAGGGTTTTGAATTTGCTATGCAGCTGGTGATATTGGGATTGCAGGTGTATGCCACCACAGCTGGCTTCTTATTCTAAAGATTAGTAAAGCACACAGTTTAGTATTGGTCTATAGGAACATGCACTCTTGTCCTGACATCTGAAGCCAAAGTTCTCAAATAGGCTCTCCCCAAGCATACTAGGTAGACCTGGCTGGTCAATAGCACCAACTTGTGATTTACTGCAGAATATCCTGCTGTCAAAATTTTAATTTTAGACATTAAAATTGGGGGTGAAATGTTAACAAAAAGCAAAACTCCTTTGACAGAATTTTCCTCTAAACTATGATTAACTATGAAGAATGCATCCTTCTGTGGTGGAGCTGTTGAGACCAGCACACTAGGTAGCCCAGGCTAGCCTCAAACTATCCTCTCTCCGTGGCAATCATAGGTTTGAGCAACCATTTCAGGCAAAAATGTATGTTATGGCTCTAAAAATCCCTGGAACCAATGAAGTAAGAATTAAACCATTGTTTTATATGGCTTTTTGACAATTCTGTGTATCTGTTTTCTTTTAGTTTGATTCAGTATTCATTCCTACAAAGGAAGCCCTAAACATTCAAGTCTGAAGTGTGACAGCAGTAGAAACATGAGTCAGACATGTCAAAAGCATACTGATGAGTCAATCAGCTTGTTGGTTTTTTTTTCTTTTCCTTTTTTTTTTTTTAATAGACAGGGACTCTCATGTAGCCCAGGCTGGCTTAGAACTCACAATCCTCTCGCCTTCATATTCTACATTACAAGCCCCCATGCCCAGCTTAAACTAGCTCCCCTCTACACTGAAATATTTGTGAGTTATTTAAAAATATCATTTTAGCCGGGCGATGGTGGCGCACGCCTTTAATCCCAGCACTCGGGAGGCAGAGGCAGGCGGATCTCTGTGAGTTCGAGACCAGCCTGGTTTACAGAGCTAGTTCCAGGACAGGCTCCAAAGCCACAGAGAAACCCTGTCTCGAAAAACCAAAAAAAAAAAAAAAAATCATTTTAAAGTTCTATTGAAAGCATTTAAGATGTGCAGGAATAAAATGTGGTCAGAAGAACTTTCAGGCTCAGCCCGCTCACAGAACGAGCTGCTGCTGTTTGTTTGGGACGGGTCTCGCTGTCATGCAGCCTGTGAGAAACAGTTTCCCTCTAGGGCCCAGGCGGGCTTGCTACTCTGTAGCCTAAGTTCATCTCTAACTTCTAGTTCCTTCTGTCTCACCCTTGTGATTACTGGATTATAGGTCTCCACTATTCCCATCTTAAAATGGAAATTAAGTTTGTTGGTAACTTGATATATCCCAGGTTTGCAGGACAATAACTGATTCTTCATTCTATCAACTATCTTAAAGGACAGGCCACTGTCTAAAAGACGTCCATCAAAACTTTCCTTCTACCCATGCGCTGCACGTGTAACCATAGCAGCCTCTTCTTCTCCTGCACGTTTGGAGTGAGGTGTGGACATCTTCTAACATGACACATAATGAAGATACACTAACTGTCTCTCTGACACAGACTGGCCTCAAACTCATGGCACCCTCCCCCCACCTCAGTCTCCTGAGTGAGTACAGGTATGAGCCATTGATGCTAACAGATAACCATATTTTATCAGAAGAGAGAAAATTAACATTTCTGTATGTAGTGCTGGGTATTGAATCCATACATGCTAAGAACACACTCTACCACTGAGCCACACCCCAACTCAAGGTTAAATTTTTATAGCAGTTTTTCTGTTGTCAATTGTATTTTAACTAAGCAAGTTAACTCTGTAAATAGTCTACTCCACTGAATAAAACTGACTTTGGAAAAGAAGGGGTAAAACAGGCAGCTTAACCAGCGACATTTAAAAAACCGCACTCTTACAGCATGACAGCCAGTGTCTCCGAGAGGCTTTGACATGCAATGCTGTGACGCTACACTGTGTAACTGGGCGAGTAGTTCTAGAGTAGCCTGCAGAAAGAGTTCACACTCCCAGCCTTCAGCTTGGAGAACAGCTTCTGCTCCGGGCCTTGGGAGAGGGGCTCAAGGAGAACCTGTCCATTCTCAGAGCTAAAAAAGCAATGTCTAATTCCTCTTCAACTCCGTTCTTCTTTCATAGCTTCTCTTTCGTTTTTCTTTGACTGCCATCCAGGCTCCAAACAGCAGAGCTTCCAGAGACACAACAGTTTCCACTCATACAAACAAATGCATCTTGTGGAAGACACACAGAGAACGAAGGCATTTTTACAGAAGCGTAATAAATCTTACAATCGAACACTGCTGATGTTGCGTCAGCAGCCCTGCTCACACTGCAAATTACCTGGAAGGGCTCGAGAGAAGTCTGGCCTAAGGGTTTGTGCAATTTATCATAAGACTGTAGAATCTCAAGCACAGGTTAAGTTCAAACATGAAAGATTTCCTAAAAGACAATAATGAAGGAAGACCTTTCTCCTCCTAAGTTAAAAATCACAGAACAAAGCAGACTGTACATTACCAAGCCCAGATGGATCACAGGACTCTTATCACAGACACCCCCACACCAGAGAGCACACCATTCCAATGAACCACCAAAAAAATGATTTCCACTGTTCATTTCTAACTGTCTATGGCTATCAATTTAGTCGGGCCTGGGGCTGCCTTTTACAGGGAGGGGGCCTCCCATGGCGCACAATGTGCTTTTCTAAACTGTCCAGAATGGCTACAGCAATCTGCTGGACGTAGGGGTCTGTCTGCTCATGCTCTTTGATGTTGTACAAATGCTGCAGTCCTCCTTCTTCAATCAGCATGCTGCAATACCTTGAAGCTGAAAGAAAACATGACATTTCTCTTAAAATATTTTTGTTTTGAAGTTATCCCACAAACCAAACAAATTCTCCAGAGCTTAAAACAAAACAAAATACATCAAAGGCCAGGCATGGTGGTACATGAAGTATATCTACATACTAAAGACTCTGTCACAAAAAAAAAAAAAAAAAGAGAGGACGGATCTCCGTGAGTTCAAGGCCAGCCTGGTCTCCAGGAGCTAATTCCAGGACAGGCTCCACCTCTATTAATCTCTTTATTTCTTTGAATTCTGGAATCTTAAAAACAATTATTCTTATTTTATGTGTATGGGTATTTTGTCTACTTCTCTACATGTTTGTCTGTGTATCCCTTTTATGCCAGGACCCAGCGAAAGGCAGAAAAGGGTATCAAATCCCCTGGAACTGGAGTTACAGATGGTTGAATCACTATGTGGATGCGAGAATCCCAAACTCAGATCCTCCGGAAGAACAGCTGGTGCTCTTAACTGTTGAGCCACCTCTTTAGCCCAGCCTTTTGTTTTGTTGAAACAGGTTTCTCTGTGTAGTCCTGGCTGTTCTTGAACTTGCTCTGTAAACCAGCTTTGAACTCAGAGATCCACCCGCCTCTGCCTCAGGAGTGCTGGGATTAAAGGACTGTGCCACCATGCCTGGCTACACAACTATTTTTTTTAAATGTGCCTATTTCTTTCTCTCTTTCTCTTTCTGATTTGTTTTTCTTGTGAGACATGGTCTTGTCATGCAGATCAGACTGGCTCTAAACTTTTTTTGACCCTGTCTCAACTTCCTTACTGGTGGAACATAAGTGTGCCACCAAACACACCTGCCAAACACTTTGGAAGGATTCACTTAATTCGTAATACGACCTAAATCTCTTACTCTATATTTTAAGTGTCTTGGTTCTGGGAAAATGGTTCAGTGGGTACGAGAGTTTGCTGTCCAAGCATGAGAGCCTGAGTTCTAATTCTAGAACCCACATAAAAAGTCAGGCATGGCCATGTGTGCATGTAATTTCAGCTTTATGGGATAAGAAAGGCCAGTTCCATTAAATCCCTGGCCAGCCAACCTACCCAAAACAGCAAACTTTTGGTTCAGTGACAATAAGGCAGAAGGCAAGAGAGGAAGACACCTACACCCTCCTCTGGCCTACATATGGGTGCATGTACACACAAAATCATGTGTTTATCTCTCTCTCACACACACAGAGAAACACACACATGCACACACACACACACACACACACACACACACACACTTGCAAGTAAATGTACTTAAAAATCAGTGCAGCCAGGAGTCATGGAGCACCCCTTTAATCCCAGTACTTGGGAGGCAAACAGGTGGATCTCTGTCAGTTCAAGTCCAGCCTGGTCTATATAGTAAGACCTATTTCAAACAAAACAGAAAACAGTCGGATATACACTTTAAAAATTGCTTTTGAGCTGGGTGTGGTGGCACCTTAACCCCAGCACTCAGGCAGAGGCAGGCAGATCTACATGAGTTCAAGGCCAGTCTGGTGTACAGAAAGAATTCCAGAACTGGCTCTGTAGCTACTACAAAACCTTGTCTTGACATCCCCCCCAAAAAAAACCCCAAACCAAACCAACATCTTTTAAAAAAAAAAAACAACCAACCCTTTGTCTTTCTGGGCTGAAGGTGTGTGTGTGTGCGCATACAGGCATACACACACACACACACACACACACACACACACACACACACACACACGTCTTGTCCAGCCATGTTCTAGGCATGGTGGTACATATCCATCTCACCACTCAGAAAGTTGAGGCACAAGAACTGCCGAGAGTTTATGGCCAGCCAGAGCTGTATAGTCAGCTCTGTCCCAGCTTGTCAGGACTACATAGGAAAGACTCAACAACCCTTCACCCCTCAAAATGACTTTCTTTCTGTAAAGGAGCATTTCACCTGAACCATAGTTCTAATTTTGGTACATACGGTTCTTGCTGCAAACATGTTGCATGGCCCAAACTGCCCACAGCTGGACTCCCGGTGTTGTAAAACAGCCAAGCAGTGGGAAAAATGGATTAAAGGACCTAAAGGTTCAAAACAAAAGAATCAAAGTCACATTTTATACAAGCATCATTTTCTAAGCAGTGATTCTTACGTCGTTAAGAAAAGGCATGCTATTTCTAGACTGATACAAAGGGTCAATACACATCTTCTCTTTGTCATGGTTACTTCAGAAAGGATTGCATTGAGACACAGTGGCACACAAAAGGTATTTAATACACTGTATGAAGGGAGGGGGTGAGGATTTTTCAAAAGTTTTTTTTTTAAGATTTATTTATTTATTATATGTACAGCATTCCTTCCATGTGTGCCTGCAGGCCAAAAGGGGGCGCCGGGTCTCATTATAGATGGTTGCGAGCCACCATGTGGTTGCTGGGAATTGAACTCAGGACCTCTGGAAGAGCAGTCAGTGCTCTTAACCACTGAGCCATTTCTCCAGCCCCAAAAGTTTTTGTTTTGTTTTCCTTTTTGGTCTTCCCCCTTAGCTATCTGAAAAAGTACACTTTACACTTTAAAATTAGAAGAAGACAGGTGTGGTAGCTCACAGTTTTAATCGGGAGGCAGAGGCAGATGGAGTTCTGTGAGTTTGAGGTCAGACTGGTTTACAGACTGAGTTCCAGGACAGCCAGAGTGAGGAAGAAAGATGCTTCTTTAAAAAAACAAAAACAGATGAGGGGATGGTGGGGAGAGAAGTAAAGGTGTGCATATTAATAAGGGGAGTCACTCACCAAGGAGCTGGGACAACTATACACACAGATGCACCTGGGGCATCTGGGGCTGCTAGCTTCAGAAAAAAACAGCCTGGGCCACGTAAGAGCCTTAAAAGAATAACCTAATGGTGTACCCTCACAGACCTAGAAAAACAGCACACCCCAACACAGTGCATGGTATGAAACAATAAACAGGGATGAAAGCTATAAACATGGAGACTAAAAACAATGCACAGAATCAATCAAGTAAGGAGTTGCTTCTTAGAAAAAATAAAATTGGCAGTTCACTTAGGCAAACTAACCAAAAGAAAGAGATGGCCCACACTAATACAATTTGAGATTTTAAAGATGTTATAACAGATTACAATGAAGTCCTGAGGATTATTAGAGAATATCTGAAAAAGTATATTACAGAAAATTGGAAAAATGGATAAAATTCTAAATGATCTATTAAAATTAAGCCAAGAGGACATACACAACTTAAAACAGATTAATAACAAGCAAAAAGATTGAAAGAGGACGGAGGGAAGCAGGAATGGTGGTGAACTCTAGTCCCAACACTCAAGGGCAGACAGATCACAGGAGCTAACGGTCTAAACAGTGAGTTCTGGGCCAGCCAGGGCTATGTAGTGAAACCTGCCTAAAAAATAAATAAAATAAAATAAACCAACTGCCAAAACAAATAAAAAAAATCCAAAAGTAAATTAAATTCTTACAGAGCAAATGTAAGAATGTATTTAGAAGACTGTATATCATGACCAAGCTGGCTTCATTCCAGGGATCCAGGATAGCTCAACATATGCACATCAATAAACAGCACATAAACAGACTTGAGGACAAAAATATCGATCATCTCAAAGTTCAGCTCTCATGATAAAAGTCTGAGCACATCAGCCCGATACAACAGACCCATGCAGGCTCCCACTATACACCAAATGGCAAAAAGGTATTTCCTTTAAAACCAGGACTGAGACAAGGGTGTCCACTTCCTCCACTGTTATTTAATTTAGGACTCAAGTTTCTAGAGAAATAAGACAAAAGAATGTAATAAATGAGGCATAAATGGGAAAGGAGGGTGTCAAATTATTAATTCTTAGTTCTATTAAATATTTTCAGCAAAGTAGCAGCATACAAAACCAATATCCCTATAGTGGTATATTACTTGTGTTTTAATAAATAAGGATGGCCTGAAGATCAGTGCAAAGCAGCCACACTCGTCAGCCATACAGGCCAGGGAGTGGTGGCGCACCTTTAATCCCAGCACTGGAGAGGAGTATCCAACAGGAGGAGACAGGTCTCATACTCAGTCTGATTCTGAGGATTCGTGGAGGCAGGATCTCCTTTCAGTCTGAGGATTTCATAGAGGTGAAAGCTCTCTAGTGGCTTGGCTGCTTTGATTTTCAGATCTTCAGGTTGAACCCCAATATCTGTCTCTGGGTTTGTATTATTCATGCTATATACCGCCAAATCAGTAGCCTTTCTATATAGCAGTAGCAATTTACTGAGAAATAATTCAAGGAAGAAAATTCCATGCAGAATAACTTCATAAAAAATAACATATCCAGAAATAAACCTAGCCAGGGAACTAAAATCTTCTAGAATGAAGACCTGAAGACACCAAGAAGGAAACTGGAGGACACACTGAAAGACAGAAAGGCCTCCAAGCTCACGGCTGGTGTAATTAATGGTGTGAAAATGGTCCCGTGATTGAAGGCGACCTGCAGATTCAACACTACCTCTATGAAAATCCAATGACATTCTTCACAGAACTAGAAAAGCCACCTTAAAGTTCAAAGCCACAGAGAAACCCTGTCTCAAAAAACCAAAAAAATAAAAATAAATAAATAAACAAATAAAGACACGCACAACTACCACTCCCCAACTGTTGTTAAAGATTTTATTTTGACTGGAGTGACGTAAAAGCACAATCTTGGGTGCTTTGGTCCTGCTTTTTACTTTCTTTAAAGTCTCCTGAAATACTGGCAGATACCATCTTCTTTAGAGAGAGACACTGAGAAGTTTTAATATTCTGCTAGTTCTTTTGGGCCCTGACTGCCAAGGCACAGTATCTTTCAGTCCAGGAATATCCCTCCCCAAACCGTTCTTGCTCTCCAATAACCAAGTTGAGACCACTCCGATTGAGGCTTGTGCTTCCTCTCTCCAGTTCTCCTTGGTCTATAAGAATGCCCCCTTGGAGCACATGCCCTTTTTAATCCCAGCACTGAAGAGGCAGAGGCAAGCATATCTCTGTGAGTTTGAGGCCAGCCTGGTCTACAGAGCAAGTTCCAGGACATCCAGGGCAACAAAGAGAAACCCTGTAGGGGGGGTGCGGGGCGGGGGGGGGGGGACGACAAACCTAGGAAACAAAGAGCCCCTTAGTCATTAGCAGGTACCCTCTACCATCAGTCAGAACCGCTTGTGTCATAGGAAAACACTGTAATTCCCACCACTGATTCGGACCACATAATCCTTTCACTCTTCAGCCAAAATACCAGGAGCTACTTCTGTGGTCATGAGCTTCTTATAGAAAGAGGAGGCTTGAGCCGGGCGATGGTGGCGCATGCCTTTAATCCCAGCACTTGGGAGGCAGAGGCAGGCGGATCTCTGTGAGTTCAAGACCAGCCCTGTCTACAGAGCTAGTTCCAGGACAGGCTCCAAAACCACAGAGAAACCCTGTCTCGGAAAAAAAAAAAAAAAAAAAAAAAAAAAAAAAAAAAAAAAAAAAGAGAAGGCTTGCATTCATCGTCCACTACAATGGGTTTCTTTCTTTTTTTTTAAACATTGCTAAATACTCTTTATTTGATATATTATACATAGACCACAGTAAGTGTCTTTCAATGGTAAAAGGCAGCATCCTTTGACTTAGGGAATTCTAATAAAATAACACCACTGAGTCAAGAATAGACAGTTGCCCCCCGATCTTTAGCCATTGCCTGTAACAGCAGGGAGTACAAACTTTACCACAGGTGAATCTTCTCGTTTCTGAGATGGTGACAGAATTCCCCAGTGTTTAAACATATTCATATGTCCAATTATATAAATTTAATTATAAGACCATTTAGTAGGTTTGAGGTGACACCCCCATCTTTGTGGAAAGTAGAACTTTAATAATTAAGTCCAATCTTATCTTAAGAAAGGGAGAGCAGTGACAGTGTTTGTGCAACTGGAATCGTTACTTTAAAAACGATCACATCCACTTTTCTACAAGTCAGTTTTCATTAATCAGGACTGTCCAACAAAGCATTGTTAGCCGTTCATGATCTGAATTTTGGGGTAGGAAGTAAATTACAGTACACATTAAAAGTCATGAGACATTTGTTTTGTAATAAATAAGGCAGTGGAGTTTCTCATTAGCAGCCTTTTTAAGATAAGCTATTAGGTTTGCTCTCCCTCCCTTCTTCTTAATTCCAGCGAAGATCATTTTTGTTCCAGGGATGTACTTTTTGGGATTCTCCAAACACTCCATCAGGGTGTCCTCTCCCCAGGCGATGCCTTTGTTCTTGTTGGCATCTGTGTATGAGAATCTAGCCGCCTGACCTGTCTTCCTCCCAAACAGACCATGGAGGTTTGGTCCAGTCTTATGCTTGCCTCCCTTTTCCACAGTGTGGCACTGGGCACACTTCTGAACAAAATTCTTCTTGCCTTTCTCAACATCACCCATTTTTAATTAGCCTCTGGGTGATCAACACCACAAACGCAGCTGCAACACAAAGACATCCCACTCTCTAGCCACAGTCTGTAGCTGGGAAGGAGACATCCTGCTTCATCTTGACATGACCAACTGCCTAGGACACACCATGAAAAAGAGCCCTGCCTCTCCTACTTTTTTTTTTTTTTTTTGGATACAGAATCGGTATATAGCCCAGGTTGCCCTTAAATGTGTTATGTAGCCTAGCCGGCTCTCTTTTTTAAAGGTATTATTACTGTGTAGTGTGTGTGAATGCATGTGCAACAGCAAGCGGTCAGAGGACAACTCTTGGCAGTCAATTCTCTCTCCACTGTAGTGGAGGGAACCTAACTCAAACTGTCAGCTAAGTTCTTACCCATTGAATTATCTTGCCTCTTGAGTGCTGGCATTATAGAGATAACACACTCGGCCTTAAGATACACACTTTAATCCCAGCACTGGGGGGGGGGGGCAGAGGCAGGCACGGATCTCTGTGAGTTCGAGGCCAGCCTGATCTATGAAGCAAGTTCCAGGATAGTCAGGACTGTTACACAGAGAGACCCTGTCTCGGAGGACCAAAACAGACAGACAGACAGATAGTTTAAAGACCCTGATGTATAAAGTAGGAATGGAGACTGGCGATAATAACTGACAGAACACCACAAAGAAGGCACAGATTTGCTTTTCTCTTTGTGTTGTTCTAAACAAAATGGATTTAAAAACTATTCAAGAGGGGTTGGAGAGATGGCTTAGCAGTTAAGAGCACTGGCTGCTATTCCAGAAGCCCCAGGCTCGATTCCCAGCTCCCACATTGGTTCACAACCATCTGCAACTCAACTTCAGTTCCAGAGGATTGACTCCATGGTCTCTGAGGGAACTGCATGCATATGGTATACAGACATACAATCAGGCCAAACACTTACCATCCGCACAAAATTAAAATCAAATCTAAAACAAGTCAAAAACTTACCAGAATGTATGAAGTAACCAATAAAAATAAGTTATGATAAAATTACACAGCAATGGAAATATTTCAGACAATAAGTTGCTTATATTATCACTTAATTGTCATAGACAGATTTAGCCTTCCAGAATGCAGTTTTTGTTGTTACTGTTATTATTTTGGGGGGGGGAGGTGGTAAGGGCAGGATGGGAGTTGAGGTCTCCTGTAGCCTAGGATGACCTTCAACTTCTGATCTTCCCATCTCCACTGCCCCAGAATGAGCATTTCTGTCTCAAGCAGTCACACTCAGTTTATGTAGTGACAGGGATCCCAAGTCCAGGGTTTTATAAATTACAGACAGCACTGTACCAGGTAGAGAACCCCAGCCTTCTCAGTCTCTTTAAATATGAACAGCAGAGAACAAATTCCAGGGAATCTACTTTCAATAAATATGGATAAAGAAGAGAATATTGAATGAATAGTAGAAAATAAATCAAAATACTTTTTAAAGCCCCCTTGAGACTAGGTCTTGTCCTATAGCCCAGGCTGGCTGGGAACTTGGCAATCCTGTCTCAGCCTCCTCGGTGCTGGGATTATAAGCATGTACCACCATGAGCAGTTACTTTACATGACTTTACTCAAAACTAATACTATGAGAGATACTTGAAGTAATGATTGTAAAAACAAAAAAAGTGACCAGATTACTTAATAATCATGCTAATTACCTGTATGCTACCATCTCACACTCTGGAGTTGGCCATTTCAAAATAGCTGAATGCTAGAAGACATAAAACATAGGATATATTACAATACTTATTTTTTAGCAATATTACTTCATAATGAAGCTTTCGTATTTAACTATAACAAATTTAACTTATATCATTCCAAAAAATACCAAATGACCCTACCAAATCATCAAGAAGAGAATTCCTCTGGCTACGGCTCAAGGTCCATGCTTGTTCACCTCTGGATATTAAGTGGGCGATAATCCCAGCTGCAAAGTAACTGACTTCTACTTCCACACTGTGCAGGAGACTGCTGATATGGTCTATGAAGTCCTTCCACATTAGTTCAGAATGGAGCTCTTGTACTTCAGCTATATTGTTCTGGGAGGAAAAGAAGGTATAAAAGTTAGTCTTAGCTGGACGGTGGTGGCGGTGGTGGCGCACGCCTTTAGTCCCAGCACTCGGGAGGCAGAGGCAGGTAGATCTCGGTGAGTTTGAGGCCAGCCTGGTCTACATGAGCTAGTTCCAGGACAGGCTCCAAAGCTACAGAGAAACCGACTCGGGAAAAACAAAACCAAAACAAAAAAGTTAGTCTTATGCAAATTAAATGGTTAAAAGGACTGTTTTCAGACACTAGACAAGCACTCCTGGTGATCTCTGACAAAGTATGCAAGCTGGTCGCTTTGCAGACTGGAGTAGAGGTAAGGGGATTAGCGGTAGTTTGGGTAGTAAATGTCCCCTATACTCTTAGATACTTGAACTGATGATGCTGTTGGGAGGTTTAGGAAGTGTGGCTTGTTGTAGGAGTTTATCACTACGGGCTTACTTCAAGGTTTCAAAGTCTTGCACCATTCCTGGTGCCCCTTCTGTACCATGCTTGTAATTCATGATGTGAGCTGTCACCTATTCCTGCTGCCATCCTGATACTGGCTGTCATCATGGAGTCTTTCTTTAAAAAGTTTTTTTGACTAAGTTCAACACTAGCCTAGTCTACAGAGCTTGTGTGTGAGTGTGCACTAGGTGTGCGCAGTGCAGAGCCCGGAGGCCAGGGGAAGGCTTGTGACCCCTGGCTGGAGCTGCAGGTGACTGTGATTGTCCACAGGGGTGTAGGGACTTGACCTAGGTCTTCTGGAAGAGCAACCAACACTTTCTTTTTCCTTTTTTCAAGACAGGGTCTCACTCTGTAGACAAGGCTATCATCAATCTCACAGACATCCACCTGTCTCTGTCTCCTGAGTCCGGAATTGAGGGTGTGCACCACTACACCAGGCTTGTTTTATCTTTTTAATTTAATAATTATATCTATTTTCCATTTTCTCTAGATGTTCAAAAACAACACAACATCATCTTTCTATATTTCTTCTGGTTTTTTTCTTAGACAGGTCTCACTATGTAGGTTAGCTCTGAATTTACAGATTCACCTGCACTACCACATCAGCTCCTTCTTTCTTCTTGAGACAAGGTATCATGAAACCCTGGCTATGCAGAAGATGCTTTGAACTTCTGATTCTCCTATTCTTATCCTTCACCTCCCAAGTGGTAAGATTACAGGTGTATGTAATCTCATTCTTATGCTTTATACTCATGGTTTATACTTTCTTTAAACACGCAAATTTATGTGATGTAGAGGATGAAAACCAAGTTTCATGCATGCTAGGCATGCACTCTTCTAACTGACCTATATCCCCATTTATTTATCGTGTGTGTGTGTGTGTGTGTGTGTGTGTGTATCTCACATGTATAAGTCAGAAGACAACTTGGAGGTGAGTTCGTCTATGATGTGGTTTGAGGATCAAGCTCCTATCATCAGGCTCCTGTAGCACAAATAATAAAACCCAGTGACAGATATTGGGCTAAAATCAGAAAAGCAAAGCAGCCAGCACTGGCTCTTACCTCCACTGAAATGGGCGACCTACCTCCACAAATACTCAGACTGAGACTGAGCCCGAGACCTGTCTCCACCCATTTTATATTCCTCTCTAGTGCTAGGATTAAAGGCATGCACCACCACCGCCCAGCCTCTATGGTTAACTAGTGTACTAGTGTGGCTGCTGGGATTAAAGGTGTGTGTCACTACTGCCTGGCCTGTACAGCTGACTAGTGTGGCTACTTTGACCTCTGACCTTCAAGTAAGCTTTATTTATTAAAACACAAATAATATATCACTGTAAGTTCTGCGGGGAGTATCCTAACCAACTTGGGCCTTGAGGGCTCAAGCAGCAACTTTCAATGTATACACTCAGACAGAAAATAATTATGCTTCTGAATTAATCAGGAATGGTGTATAACTTACCAAAAGACCTAGAACTTTTTGTTGAATGGATGACTCAGTTGGGAAAGACTACAAAAGAAAGAGAATGTGTAACTATCTAAAGAAACAAATATAACAAATAAGTGCTCAAAGAAATCACCCACATCAATGGCTAAGTATATTCTTATTCTAACCTCTAGAACTCTCATGAAGAGCTCTAACCCTTGATTTTCAATGAAGTGTCTGCATGTTGTTGGGGATTCATCTGTGAGGTTCCAGAGTGCACTCAAAGTAAACTTCAATGTAGTATCCACTGAATTTTGATTAGTTTTCTGCTTCACTATTTGAAGAAGTTGCTAAGGAAAAAAAAGAGAATTTTTCATTATTGAGTTGTCATAATCTGAGATTACCAATAAGCACAAATCCATGAGGAATATTCTCATAGTTTAAAGCATTCCCTGTAAAGGTCTGTCCGTCCATCCATCCATCCATCCATCCATCCATCCATCCATCTATCTAGTAGGGGGCGCATGTCCAAGTCACAGCATGTTTGTAGAGGTCTGTGAGTTCCACCCTGTGGGTCCTGGGGATTGAAACAGGGTTGGCAGGAAGCATCTTGCTGAGCCATCTTGCTAGCCCTAGTATGTTTTTGTATTGTTTCTTCAGATAGTTTTGCTATACAACCCAGGGCTAGTCAACTTGACACAAGCTACAGTCACTTTGGAAGAGGGACTCTCTCTCTTTTTAAAAATCATCTATTTAGCTGGGTGATGGTGGCGCGCGCCTTTAATCCCAGCACTCGGGAGGTAGAGGCAGGCAGATCTCTGTGAGTTCGAGACCAGCCTGGTCTACAGAGCTAGTTCCAGGACAGGCTCCAAAGTCACAGAGAAACCCTGTCTCAAAAAACAAACAAACAAAAAAATCATCTATTTAAATTTATTTTATGAGTACTGCTGTGAAGGTGTTAGATCCCCTGCAACTGGAGTTACAGACAGTTCCATGTGTCGTTGGGAATTGAACCCAGGTCCTCTAGAAGACTAGCCAGTGCTCTTAACCACTGAGTCATCTCTCTAGCCCCTCAAAGAGGACTCTCAATGAGAAAATAACTCCGTAAGATTGTAGGCAATTCTGTAGTGTACTTCCTTGATTAGTGCTTGCTATAGAAGAGCCCAGCCCATTGTGGATGGTGCCTTTTCTGAATAGGTAGTCCTAAGGATGTGTAAGAAAGCAGATAGGGCAAGCATTCCTCCATGGCCTCTGCATCAGTCTCTGTCTTTCCTAGATGACAAACTAAGATGAAATAAACTCTTTCTTCTCCATCTGATTTTTGACCCTGGTGTTTTATCACAACAACAGAAACCCTAAGACAGCAGCCAAAGCTAATCTCTAAGTCAAGATTCTCCTTTCTCAGTCAACAATTCCTTAGTCTGGACCTTCATTTTTCCTTCTTATCCTTCCCTTATTTCTATTTGTTTTTCTGTAAACAATAGTTTTGCTAGTACTGTGTAGAACTGCAAACTGGACTATACGAAAAGTACTTATTTGTGTTCTCTCTCCCCTCTCTGTTCCTCTCTTGGTCCCTTTCTCTGTGAGCAGGGTGGATCTCATGTCACCTTAAACTCACTATATACCAAGAATGATATTGGACTCCTGTCCTCCAGCATCCACCTCCCAAGTGCTGCAATTGCAGGCATGTACTACCACACGGGTTTATGTGGTGCTGAGGATGAAGTGTGTTCATTTCACACATGGAGCTATATCCCCAGACCTCTGTTTGCTTGCTTGTTTGCTTTCTTTCCTTCCGTCTTTCATGTGTGTGCAATATCTTCTTTTTTATTTTAAACTCATTTTGATTTTGTGTCGTGTGTGTGTGTGTGTGTGTGTGTGTGTGTGTGTGTGTGTGACAATGAAATATACGAAGGACTGAACTTCTGTAGTCAGCAGAGAGCTTGCAGAAGCTGGTTCTCTTCTTCCACCATTAGGTCCCAGGGATTGAACTCAAGTCACCAGATTTGGTGTCAGTTGCCTTACTGCTGAGCCATCTCACTGGTCATGAACCAACTATCTTAACTGGTCATAGAATACCATTCTAATAAAGCCTGGGACTTAAGAAAATGAAGAGGGGTTGAAGGGAGGCAAAACTAGTATTTTTTAACTTATAGTTAATAATACTTATAGTATCATTTCCCAGGGACACAAACTAAATTTAAAATATTAAGTAATTTGGTCATAATCAACTTGATAAAAGAGTTAAAAGGCTTAATTCTAACAAATTTCAAGTTTTTTTTTTTTTTTTTAAGGAAAAAAGGAAAAGGCTGGGCGTGGTAGCTCACACCTGTAACACCCGGACTTAGGAGACTGTGGCAGGAGGACTGTCACAGCTTCAAGTCCCTCTTGGGCTACACACAATGGTAAGAGAATTGAAGTTAACATTGGATATTAGGATGACAATAGCTTTGACATGTCTTCTCATAAGCTACGTCTACTGTAACTAGCCTGGTCTACAGAGTGAGTTCTAGGACAGCCAGGACCGTTACACAGAGAAACCCTGTCTCAAAGCCCACAACCCCCAAAAATCAAAACAAAACAAAAAAAATTGAATACAATCATTTAGAAAAAGTGAATTTATTAAAAATAAAGAGAGAAGCCAGGACAGGGGTGGTTCTGTCCTGTAGCAGAAAGCCGACTTAGTATGTGTGCAGCCCTGGCTTAGCTCCCCAGGAACAAAAACACCTATACCCATATAAACCCACAAAAGACATACCACATTACTTGTCAGGAGGAAAAAAGAAAAGAGAAGAATACTAGTAGGGACTGGGGAGATGATTCAGAGATTACGAGCACTGGCTAATCTTCAAGAGGATCTGGGTTTAATTATCAGCACCCACATGGCAGCTCAAAACTGTAATTCTAGTCCCATGGGATCCAATTTACTCCTCTGGCATCCACAAGCACTGGGTCACCTTCACGCAGTGCACAGACATACATGGAAACAAAGCACCCATACACGGAAAATAAATACTTTTTTAAAAGTTAAAAAACAACAAAAAACCAAGCAAACAAACAAACCAAACCAGTATGTAGTGTTCTAAAAAGAGGGAAATAAACTCACCCGGACAATGAAGAGCTCAGCACCAAGCTGTGCGGTTTGTTCTGTAGAGAGCTGGAAGTAAATATGAGACAAAGTAAATGTCCAAGTACTCATGGGTGTAAGTTACTATAATTCACCACAGCAGCCTCCATAGCTAGAGCTCATTGACCTCCGATTCTACAACACTTAACACAAATAAGCAGGCTAGCAAAGAGGTGTACTAACTTTTCTGGCACACAAATGGAAGGGGGCTGTATCAACTGTAACGAGAAACAATTGCCTTTAGGAAGTCATTCTGAAACGTTCAGGTACCTTAGCAGCCAGGATGGAAATGATGGCAACTGCCATTCTTTGCATGTTTTGATCTTCATGGTTGCAAAGCCACTGCATGACAAGCTTGGCTGCTTCAAACCTGAAAACACAAGAGGGTTTCCTCAATATTGGAGATCCAGGCATAATTTTAGGGAGTCAGGTGAGAGCTGATGCTACAACTTAGTGTGTGGGAAGAGAAGGGAAGCTTGCTTTCTTTTAATGAGAGAGAATAACAAATTACTATTAGTGTCTTTTTGGTTTCTTTCCTATGCTGGGGATGGACCCAGGGCCTTGTCTAGACAGAAGCGCTACCACAAAGATATATCCCCAGTATGTTCTCTTATTTTATTTACTTGTAGTGTCTATTATTTTTATCTTCCTCTTTGGTAGTGTGAGTGTTTGTCTATGATGTGCATGAGTGTGCATGCATGCTATGATATCCATGTGGCTGTCAGAGGACATCATTTGAGACTCAGTTCTTTTCTTCCACTGTGGGTTCTAGAGTTTGAACTCAGATGGTCAGGCTTTTGTGGAAAGTGCTTTTACCAGCTGAGCCACCTTGCCAGCCCTTGTTTATGTCTTTTTGAGATAGGGTCTCATGTAGCTTGTAGCTCAGGCTGTCCTCAAACTCTCTGTGTAGCCAAAGATGACCTTGAACTGCTGATCTTCCGGCCTCCACCTTCCGCAAGCTGGGATTACTGGCATGTGCCACCATACCTGGCTCTTTGTTTTTATTCTGAGACAGTCTTAATAAGGTGCCAGGTAGGCTTTGAACTTTTGATTCTCCTACTGGGATTATAGGCCTGCACCACTGTGCTCATCAAAATGATAGCAATGGTGGAGAGGCAGGAGCATAGGGGCTGAGGAGAAAGCTCAGCTGGTAAAGTGCTCGCTGTGCAAGCATGCGGACCTGAGTTGAATCCCCAGCAACCATGTCAAAGAGCTCGGCATGGCAATGCATACCTGTAATCTTAACTCTGGGGAGGCAGAGACAGGAGGATCCCTGGGACTTGATGGCCAGAAGTCTAGCCCACTCCGTGAACTCCAGGTTCAGTGAGAGACCCTGTCTCAAAAAAATAAGGCAAGGAGCAATTGAGGAAGACACCCAATGTCAACCTCTGGTTTTCACACTGAGACATTAGCACATGGTGCACACACATATCAATAACAATACACACACACAAATACACACAAAGACACAATAATGTAGAAATACAGTCAAAATTGACATTTTATCTTCTACAATAAAAGCATTTTAGTATTTCAACATCACAGCTTTAAGCATATTCTTTGATAAAAACTTTTAAAAGTTATTTAAACGTGAGTGTGTACACACACACATCTTCTCACAAAGCATGCACACAGAGGTCAGAGGACAACTTGAGGGAGTCATATTTCTACCATGTGGTCGTGGGGACTGAACTCCCGTTGTCAAGCTATTACTTGCCTGTTAAATGGGACATCTTGAAGAATTCGATCACTACAAAGTGAGAGGAGGCAATTCTTCTGTAACTAAAGAATAAAAAGGAGAAAACAAAACAAAGTCGAAAAGAACATCATTCTGTTACCTGTTAACCAAAGACAAGTTTTTTAAAAAAAATTTTTTTAAACTATTGTTTAAATGTGCGTAAGGAGAGTGTGGGCATGCTGAGTGCTAGAGATGGAACCCAGGGTTCATGAAAAAGCTCCAGTTTAAAACTATACAACTAAGCTATACAACTATACAACTAAGCTCCAGTTACTGTTTTTAAATCTTGAAAAACACAATTTTTTTTTCTTGGTTTGAGACAAATCTCTCAATTATATATCTCTGGCTGTCCAGGAACTAACTATGTAGACCAGGCTGGCCTCAAACTCACAGACCTCGCCTGCTTCTATCTCCTGAGGGCTGGGATTAAAGCCATGTGTCACCATGCCAGGCTCAAAATTATATTCTTTAAACTAATTCTTTATAAATGCTATCAAAATAAATTGATTGCTTTATGTAAACTTTGTTTTTTAACTAAATTTATTATTTATATAGTGTTCTACCTGCATGAATGCTTGCATGCCAGATCTCATTACAGATGGTTGTGAGCCACCATGTGGTTGCTGGGAATTGAACTCAAAATCTCTGGAAGAGCAGCCAGTGCTCTTAACCTCTGAGCATCTCTCCAGCCTAAGAAAATTTTATATTTTTAAACATGGGAATTCAATTCAGGCTTTATATCAGCACATTAAATTATGATCTTTAAAATGTATTTTTATTTTGCAAATGTTCTGTCTGAGTATGTGTGTGCCCAGCATGTGTACCTAATGTCCGCGGAGGCCAGAGGATAGCAATGGATCACAAGGAGGTTGTCAGCCTCTATGCCGATACTGGGGACCAAACCTGGGTCCTCTGTAAGAGTGAGTCTTGGCCGATAAGTCAACTCTCCGCCCCCACCCTGGGTTTTTTTTTTTTTTTTTTTTTTTCCGAGACAGGGTTTCTCTGTGGTTTTTGGAGCCTGTCCCGGAACTAGCTCTTGAAGACCAGGCTGGTCCCCACCGTTTTTGTTGTTTGTTTTGAGACATGGTCTCATGCAGCCTAAACTGGCCTCTAACTTACTATGTAGCTGAGGATGACTTTGAACTTTTAACCTTCCTGCTTTCACATCTGAAGTGCTGGGGTTACAGGCACGCAAGTGTATACCCTACTCCAAGAGACGGAATCCTGGACTTTGTATATTCAAGGCAAGCAATCTCTCAACTGCGCTATATTCTTAGGCCCTGGTGTTTACATCTCTCAGGATGCTTTCCTAGTTTTCAACTGCCCTAACTGCCTCTTCTTGAGCTCCCAGCAGTGCAGTACTACTTAGCTGAAATGTCTGGAAGCACAAATACCGGATTTCAGAGCTTTTAATGTAAGGCAAGATTTCAAAGAGCAGGTTCTGTTGGAGCCATTATATTGAAAAATGGTTAGAAAAAACAGTGGACCTATTACGGAAATAGGTAGGCCACACTAGGCAAGCAGCTTGTGACCAGAGTGTAGGAAGGACAAGCATTTAGATTTGGAAACATCTCCAGGCAGTGATGGCACACACCTTTAATCCCAGCATTTGGGAGGCAGAGGCAGGTGGATCTGTGTAAGTTTGAGACCAGCCTGGTCAACAAAGAGAGTTCCAGCTAGCTAGGACTACACAGAGAAACCCTGTCTTGAAAAAACAAAAACAAAACAAAAACAATCTAAACAAAATAAATAAATAATTGGGAACATTACCAATTGAGCAGACCAAATATAAAAATCCAAAATCTGAAATGCCCTAAAATAGGAAGCTCTCTGAGTAACACATAGGCATCAAGCATCGAAGGTTTTTTCCCCCCAGTCTATGATTTTGAATTTTGACATTAGGGTTCTTAAGCTGACTTGTTTCTTAGTATTTACTGTGTTGTGCTACATTATGTGTTTTTCTATCTGAATTGCAGACCTCATCATAGGGGCACATATCCTAAACTGAATAAAGAGACACTAAGCTTAACTGAACTGATGGCTTAAACTGGTAACAGAGAAAAGCATCCCTGCATCTGACTGATGGTTTATTCCTTCTGCAAAACACCATAAGCAAACAGAGAAGATGACATTTGTTACAATCTCCAAGTTCTGACCATCTGAAATTTTGACTTTTGTGGCTCTAGCCTCAAATATGCAAGTATTTAAGAATTTTGTATACTGCCATTCACCAAATTTGGCTATCGCTGGCCTAATCCTACACTGTCCTTCCTACGTTCTGGTCACAACAACTCACCCTCTGGAATGGCTTGCACATTCCATACAGGTCCCACTGCTTTTCTTACCCGTTTTCCAAGCTGTGACTCCATCACTTGTTCTTGGAAGGCTCCCTGTCCCTGTCCATACACCATGTACCTGACAATACTACTCACTTCCCTCAACGGCCTACGGCATTCAGTTCAAACAGCTGAAAAATAAAATGCTCATAACAGCATCCAGCAGCTGCAACTTTTCCTTCTGTGAGGGGTTTCCTTATTTCGACAGGAGTCTAGCTAGGTGGAGCAGAACAGCCAGTAACTCCTGGGCTCAAGAGACCTTCTTTCCTGAACCTCTCTAGTAGCTGGAATTACAGGTACATAACAGCATGCCTATCTAAATATTAAGTCCTTTTTTCAGATTTATTTATATAATATCTGTGTGTGTGCGTGTGTGCGTGCATGTGAGTATACACGGGTACCACGTGTGTGCACTACCTGTACAGATCAAAAGAGGGCATCAAATTCTCCCTGAAGCTGGTTTTACAAGTGATTGTTAGCTGCTATGTAGGTGTTGGGAATACATCTAGATTCTCTTAAAGAGCAGAAAGTGCTTTTAACCACTGAACCATCTTTCCAGCCCCATAAATTAAGTAACATTTAAATGTTCTATTTTAAAACAATTTGCTGGGCGGTGGTAGTGCACATGTTTAATCTCAGTACTCAGAGGGCAAAGGCAGGCCAATCTGGTTTACAGAGCTAGCTCCAGGACAGCTAGGGCTATAGAGAGAAACCCTGTCTCAAAAAAACAAAAATAGGCCTGGAGAGATGGCTCAGAAGTTAAGAGCACTGGCTGCCCTTCCAGAGGTCCTGAGTTCAATTTTCAGCAACCACATGGTGGCTCACAACCATCTATAATGGTATCTGGTGCCCTCTTCTGGCATGCAGGCATACATGCAGGCAGAACACTGTGTACATAATAAATAAACCTTTAAAAAAAAAGAACCAAAAATAAATAAATAAATAACAATTTTATTTGTGGTATGAGTGGTTTGATGTGTATGAATACGTGGGAGCCAGAGGTATACACTGGTACTCTTCCACTATTATTCCTCATCTTATATTTTGAGACAAAGTCTCTTACTGTGGTGGTTAATCTCAACTGTCAATCTGATGTGATTTAGAACCACTTGAGGGATGGGCCCCTGGGCATCTCTTGCAGGGTTGTCTTGATTAGGTTAACTGATGTGAGAAGACTCACCCACTGTAGGTGACATCATTCACTAAACGAGGACCCTGTACTGTACAAAGGGAAAAGGTGTGCTAAACACTAGAAACCACCACCATCCAATCCTCCTGGTCCAGGATATTCCCCCAACAATGGACTGTAACCTCAAACTATAAGCCAAAGTAAATGCTTCCTTCAGTTGATCTCGGCAGAATATTTTATCACAAACTGGAAAAGTAAATAATATACTTACTGAACCTGGAACTAAAGTTTCACCTAGACTAGTGGCCAAAAAGCTCCCAGGATCCACCTGCCTCTGCCCCTACAGTGCTGGAGATCTGAACTCAGGTCTTCCTGACTGTGCAGCAAGTACTTTACTCAATCTCTCAACTCCCTAAATGCTATTAAATAGACAAAATATTTATAAAATACATTTATTATAAGGTAGTACCTCTTAATCTTTAATAGATAGACACCACTTGCCTAAGAATTATTTTGGAGGGGATAAATTTGTGACAGGTTCTCCTTTATCCCAGACTGGCTTGAACTCACTACACAGACAAGGATGACCATGGATCCCTGCTCTTCCAGCTTCACCTCCTAAGTGCTTGCATTACAGGAATTTACCACATTGGCCTGCACAAATTTTGTATTTAAAAGCCTTTAACTTTGAATATATTATATTTTAAATAACTTCAAAAACTACAACATGTATTTCTTTTTTGTTTTTGGTTTTTGGAGACAGTGTTTCTCTGTGTAGGCCTGGCTGCCCTGGTGCTTTCTCTGTAGATCAGCCTGGCCTCAAACTCAAAGATCTGCCTGCCTCTGGCTCCCAAGTGCTGGAATTAAAGACATCTGCCACTATCACTCGGTCTACGTATTTCTACCTTTAAATAGCATTGGATAAAAATGATATGGTGCACAGGTCTGCCTGTGATGCCAGCACTGAGAAAAGGCAGAAATTAGGCCCCTTCTCAACAGAAATACTAATAATTAACACACTGGGTAACTTTGATTTTTTTTCAAGTGAGTACATGAAATCATTTATGTAGGCTGCTGCAGAGACTGATCTAAGTTGTGGTTTGCAGCTGCAACTGATAGTTTCTTGCTATAAGACTACACTTCCCAGCTTCCCTTGTGAACTACAGAAATCATTTCTGCCCCATAAAGGGCTGTATCCCATCTTCCTCTGTAGGCATTTCAGCCATCTACGAATGACAAAAATGCTACTTTGCTGTAAATAAACATGGTACCACCTAGAACCAGACCAAGCCTCTCTTTCCACCTTCATCCCTCTAGAGCTGCTTTTAATAATCTAATACTAAGTATTATACTTTGTTTTGAGACAGGGTTTTTCTACTTGGCTCACACCTTTAATCCCAAGGCTCAAGAGGCAGAGTTCTGTGAGTTCAAGGCCAGCCTGGACGACTGAGCAAATTCCAGGACAAGCATAAAAGCAGGAGAGAACCCTGCTGTATGGTCTGCAGAGTAAGTGGACAGCCAGGGCTACACAGAGGAACCCTGTCTCGAGAAATAAACAAACAAAACAACAAAAAAGACCACGCCCAAACATTCACTACTGTTTGTAAGAACTCTGTTGTACGATTAATACACCAGATTAATACATTTTAGGTGCTTCTAACTTTTGTCATTATATATGATATTTGTACAGATTTTTTAAACAGATTAGCAGATTTATCAAGATATAATTCATGGCCGGGCGATGGTGGCGCACGCCTTTAATCCCAGCACTCGGGAGGCAGAGGCAGGCGGATCTCTGTGAGTTCGAGACCAGCCTGGTCTACAGAGCTAGTGCCAGGACAGGCTCCAAAGACACAGAGAAACCCTGTCTCGAAAAACCAAAAAAAAAAAAAAGATATAATTCACATAGTATACAATCCCTGCTTTGTGTGATTTTTTTAGTCTACGCACAGAGTTACAAACCTATTATACCACGGTTAGTTTTCATACAGTTCCTTTTTATCCTAGAGACAGTATCCTGTAATCTAACTGGGCCTCAAACCTGCTGTGTAGGTGAACATGCTCGCTCTTGAACTCCTGCTCCTCCTGCTGCCACATCCTGAGTTCTAAATTATAGCGAGACACCACCATACCCAGTTTTATTCAGTGGTGGGGATTAAACCCGGGCTCTGTGTATTCCAGGCAAACATTCTCTTGTTCAGTTTTTAGCATGTTTTCCTGTCTCCAAAAGAAATCTAGTTGAGGATGCAATTTAATGACAGAGTACCTAACATTGGTGAGACCCTGGGATTGAGTGTCAACACTGAAAACAAAAACAAAAACCCACATCTATTATCTATTACAATCACTCCATTTTTCCCCACCCTTAATTCCTAACCTTTTATTCTGATTTTTTTTTTCAGTTTTCATTTGTTAATTACACCAATACATTTTTGGTTCTGTTTTTTTGTTTTCATTTTCTCTATGTATTTTTGGCACTTGCTGTATAGTCCATGCTATCCTTAGACTCAGAGAGATCACCAACCTCTGCCTCCCAAATGCTAGGAGTAAAGGGATACACACACCATCATGCCTGGAACACCAATAAGTTTTAATTCTGGGCATGGTGATGCATACATAATCTCAGAACTTTGGAAATGGACCTGGAGGTTCAGGAGTTCAAGACAGGTTGGGCTACAAAAGGTCCTGCTTCAGAAGAAGAAAACAACAAACAAGAAGGCTTAGTTATTAAATTGAACTGTTATGGAAATAGGAGGCAGTAAAGAAGAATCTAAGAATATCTGAGTGGGAATTCACAGGTGCTTACCTGCTGGTGATTAGGAAAATGTTCCATGGCCTTGAGCAGCAAATGGGTTACGTCAGCGAGGAGCCGGACAGGCATGCCTAAAGCAAGGTCCTGCTTAGTTAAGTTAAACACACAGGCACTTGCAGCCAGTTGCACAGGCAAATTCATAGGATGGTTTCTCATCCCAGTAACCACAAGCTGAAGCAAAACAAAACAAAATATTTAGTCCTCTTAATTCCATAAACACAAACCCTCTTTATATAACAAGGCCTTGTTCTAAATAACTTCAAAGACATGTTCCTAAGTCAGGAGCCTAAACCGATTCCCAAACTTCCTTCCTTGACATGCTGTCAGCTGGAATGCCATAAAACCCATCCTCTCAAGGACTATATAACTATTCTTCATTTGTCTTCTTTCCCTTCTAAAATCTTCCCCACTCTTCAATTCAGCTGAAAACTTAGCTTTCTTCAATATTTATTTTATTTTATTATTTACTTATGTGTGTACGTACTCTCACAAGACCCAGAGAGGGTGCCGGATCCCTCAGAACTGAAGCTACAGGCAGTTGTGAGCTGCCTGGCGAGGGTGCTAGAAACCAAGCCCCGGAGGTTCTCCCAACAGCAGCAAGTGCTCTCAGTTAACCACTGAGCCCTCTCTCCAGCCCTGGAAAACCTAGCTTTCAACCACACTAAGAACACTCAAGTAACTAGAAAAGAAACTTCAGATTCTGACTGCCCATGTATTCTCTCTACCAGGGTACAGAAATCCATATGGCACCTTGCCAAACAATGATCACAATCCTCTCTAAAGCTGATCCTTCCATGGATATGCCAGATCATTTCCTCGTCTGTCTACTCAAGAAAATAATTACCTCTATGTCATGTTTTAAATTCTGGATTGGAAAGATAGACATATTTTAAAAGCTATTCATTTAAGGGGTTGGAGCGATGACTCAGTGGTTAAGAGCACAGACTGCTCTTCCAGAGGACCCAGGTTCAATTCCCAGCACCCACATGGATCTGACACATTCACGACAATGCACATGAAATAAATTTAAAATAAATTATAAAAAAGCTATTCATTTACAAATAAGGGGGCACTGAACTTTCCTGTAACTCCATTATTAGGAGCTGAGGCAGGAAGACTATAGATTTGAGGCCAAGCTGGGTGACATAGCAAGATCCTGTCTAAAAAACCGACATTCTCCTTTAATCCTATTTCTTTAATCAACTGCCATTTTTCCCCTTTGCATTCTTTTACAACAAAACTCTTTATGTGAATGGGCTTTAATCTTTAAACAAATGAATATTTCAAATCAGGGCTAGAGATCTAGTCCTCTATGCTTAGTTTTATAGAAGTAAAAACTGAAGCTGGGCAATCGTGGTAAACACCTCTAATCCCAGCACTCGAGAGGCAGAGGAAGATGGATTTCTGAGTTTGAGGCCAGCCTAGATTATAGAGTGAGTTCTAGGAGAATTGGGGCTTTAAAAAAAACTAATTTGTTTGTTTATCTATTTATTTATTTTTTTCAGAACAGGGTTTCTCTGTGTAACAGTCCTGGCTTCCCTGGAACTAGCTCTTGTAGACCAGGCTGACCTCAAACTCACAGAGATCTGCCTGCCTCTGCCTCCTGAGTGCTGGGATTAAAAGTGTGTGCCACCACTGCCGGGACAGATTTATTTATTTATTATGTATAAAGAGTTCTGCCTGTAAAAAAAAAAAATAAAGTAAAAAAAAAAAAAAAGAGTTCTGCCTGCATGTATGTCTGCACACCAGAAGAAGGTACCAGATCTTATTATGGATGGTTGTGAGCCACCATATGTTGCTGGGAATTGAACTCAGGACCTCTAGAAGAACAGCCAGTGCTCTTAATCACTGGACCATCTCTCCAGTCCCAGCCAGGACTTTTTTATCTGGTGAAAAAAAGAAGAGAAGAGAAGGAACAAAAACTGGAAGGGGGGGGGGGGAGGAGACAAAGCAAATACCAGCATCTACTGGTTTACACGGAGGAAGTGACAGGCATTAGTGAAAATAACAAAATGTTACAGTTCCTACCCAAGCAGTCCATTCAAAAATTTAAGACACTTAGGGGATCAAATCAGTTCCGGCTCTGACACAGGCCCTCAGTTTCACAATTTATAAAATGGAAAATAAAATCCACCTCTTCAGATTGTTCCCACTAACTGAAAAAGTCTCTTTACATGTGGGTGCTAGGAATCAAATCTGGGTCTTCTGCAAGAGTAACAAGCAGGACTGGAAAGATGGCTCAGAGGTTAAGAGCACTGGTTGTTTTTTGGCTGCTGTTCCAGAGGTCCTGAATTCAATTCCTAGCAGCCACAAGGTGGCTCACAACCACCTATAATGAGATCTGGTGCCCTCCTCTGGTGCCCAGGCAGAACACTGTATACATAATAAATAAACAAGCAAACCTAAAAAAAAAAACCAAAACAAACAAATAAAACCCAGAGTACTCTTAACTTCTGGAGCACCTCCCCAGCCCCAAGGCTCTCCTTATAAAGCCTAGGTTCTTAAACTTGCTATTTAGCTCACCTGGGCTTGAACTTGTAACCTTTCTGCCTCAGTCTCCTGAATGCTAAGAGTTATGGCCTAATACCACCATTTCCAACTGAATCTCTGTGTGTGTGTGTGTGTGTGTGTGTGTGTGTAAATACTGGGAATAAATATAAACATTAGGGCTACGCATCCATTTTAGGAAATGCTCTACCACTGAGCTATAGCCTCCATTCCTCACTTTGTATATTTTTATTTTGAAACTAACTCTTGCTATGTAACCTATGCTGGCCCTGGACTCACTCTGTGATACAGGTCAAACATGAACATGTAATCTTCCTGTGTCTGCCTCCTGAGTAATTGGGATTATAGGCCCAGTTAAATATTCGTGTTTGTTTATTTATTTTTAGGACAGAATCTTTAATCCCAGTATTTGGGAGGCAGAGGACAAACTGGTCTACAAAGTGAATTCTAGGACAATCAGAGCTACATGGAGACACAGTCTCAAAAAAGAAAAGAACCCCTCTATTGCCCCCAAAAAGAATTTCCTTTCTTGGGTGGGATATATCTTAGTTGTGCAGTACTTGTCTAATATATGGAAAGCTTTGTATTTAATCCCAGTATAACAGAAAAATGAAAAAAACAAATCTTTTTCAGCTTTCAAAAACATCTTAGCTGGGCAATGGTGGTGCACGCCTTTAATCCCAGCACTTGGGAGGCAGAGACAGGCAGATCTCTGTGAGTTCGAGGCCAGCCTGGTCTACAGAGAGAGTTCCAGGACAGACTCCAAAGCTACAGGGAAATCCTGTCTGGAAAACAAAAACAAAACAAAACAAAGGAGATAGATAGAGAGAAAGATAAAAATAAAGGTCAAAACACACAAAATCTACAGTAATTTCAATTTTTTTCACCTGTTTTTGTTCTTACCTTTAAGATTTCTGGCTTTGTTTTTTCCATCACATGAGTCAAACTAAAAAGATGAAACAAAGCTTCCCGGACAAAAAACGCCCTTTCGCTGTATCGCCTTAATGCTTCTGCAATCTGAGTCTCGTTGGCTTCTCCAGACACCTTTGAACAGCCAAAAGATGAGTGTTTAGCATTCTTCTCACCTGCTACCTTTCTCCATCTTAACATCAGCTGGAGAGATGGCGCTCAGCATAACTAAGGCTTGAAACACATGGGAACACTTCCTAACCCACCACAGCCATCATCTCCAGAGACACACTGGACTAAGAACCCAGCACAAGCCTGTAGGTATTTCCTGCCCAACACCTAAAATAAATCTCAAGACATTTCACGCTCCATCAGGCCTTGCTGTCTCACTGAGGCTTTTAAGATGCCTCTTATGGAAAACTCATCCCTTAAATCATCTACTGGGATTACTGGCCTTTCTCCATGATGCTTCAGTCACGCTCTATCTCAGCAAAAGGTCATCACATACAATGTCAACTTAAAACTTTCTCTCTTTGCTTAACTAATTTGTACTAACCCTTCCTAAGTCAATCCAATCTTAGAGAAAGCCTTGCTGACACACCAATCTCAAACCAGGTTACCCCCAAATTTCGTTTTCCTAGTTATGATTCTCCCACTTTAGTGACCCATGTAGCACTCAACATATGTCAACAGTGACTAGCATTATGCATGGCTCAGAAGGAACACTTATTATGTATGCATCAAATAAACCTTTAATTTCCCCCAGATCGATCAAGCGCCATAAGAGGGTTTATTCAAAATGGAATCTAACTTAATTTATACAGGTTAATACACTTAGGTTACACTGTGGTTCAGGGAGCACTGCGCAAACACACAGGTAAATACACTTATGTTACACTGTGGTTCAGGGAGCACCATGCAAACAAATACAGATAATAAAAAGTAACTTTATAGTCAACCTGGCAAGAGAAAAAGAAATGATTAAGATACAGGACTGGTGAGACAACTCAGTAAGTACCAAGCCAGCATGAGGTACACCAAAACCCTATCCCAACTCCTAACCCTTCAAAAAGAACAGAAAGAAATATGGACTATGAACATGTGTAGCCAAAAAATAAAAAAAAAATTCTGAAATTCTACTCTGAGGAGAACTGTAAAAGTCAAAAGGACTGTTTTTTGTTTGTTTTGTTTTGTTTCTGACAGTCTCACTATGTATCACTTGGCTGATCAAGAGCTCTTTGTGTAGACAGGCTAGCTGTAAACACACAGTGATCCACCTGCCTCTGCCTTCCAAGTGCTGGAATTAAAAGTGTGCACCACCATGCTGGGCCAGGAGACACATTTAAAGGAAAAGAAAAGGAAGGAAGGGCTATGAGGCAGATCATTGGGAAAGGGACCTGCCATCAAGCATGAAAACCTGAATTTAGTTCCTGTGACCCACATAGAAGCAAATCCTGCAAGTTGGCCTGTGACCACCAAACATACTATGGCACATATATATGAATGTATTCATATTTATAATAGGAAAAAAGGGAAGAAAAGGGATTGCTGGGTGTGGTACATACCTTTAATCCCAATAATTAGGAGGCAGAGGCAGGAGATCTCTGAGTTCAAGGCTAGCCTGGTCTACAGAGTGAGTTCCAGGTGAATCAGGAGCTATAATGATACCCTGTCTCAAAAACAAGAGGGGTGAGGGAAGATGGGCACAAGATTGTATGCCTTTAAGTCCAGAACATGGGAGGCAAATGAATCTCTGATTTTGAGGCCAGTCAAGGCTACATAGTGAGATACTGTCTCAAAAGAAAAAAAAAAAAAGGTGGGGGGTCAGAGCTGGAGAGATGGCACTTATTTTTTTTAAAATATTTATTTATTTATTATGTATACAATATTCTGTCTGTGTGTATATCTGCAGGCCAGAAGAGGGCACCAGACCTCATTACAGATGGTTGTGAGCCACCATGTGGTTGCTGGGAATTGAACTCAGGACCTTTGGAAGAGCAGGCAATGCTCTTAACCACTGAGCCATCTCTCTAGCCCTGGCATTTATTTTAATAGAGTGCCTGGGTTTGATTCTCAGCACCACACATAAAACTTAAAAATCTAAAAAAAAAAAAAGTGAAAGGGAAGAGAAGAAGGCACTATACACTAAGAGATGCTGCAGACACTTCAGGCATGGGGTGCTGCCTCAGTGATTAAGAGAGTGGTGGCACACACCTTTAAACTCAGAACTCAGGAGGCAGAGGTGGGTGGATCTCTGTGAGTTCGAGGCAGTCTGGTCTACAGTGTGAGTTCCAGGACAGCTAAGGCAACTACACAGAAAACCCTGTCTCAAACAAAAAGAGAGAGGAGAAAGAAGAGAAAGAACATATTGCTCTTGCAGAGGACTGGAGTTTTGAGTCTCATCACCCACACTGAGCAGTTCACAAGTATCTGTATCCCCAGCTCCTTTAGCTTCCAGTTTCTCTCTCTCTCTCTCTCTCTCTCTCTCTCTCTCTCTCTCTCTCTCTCTCTCTCTCTCTCTCTCCCCCCCTCACACACACAATAATAATAATAATGATAATGATAATAATTAGGGTTTTTTTCTCAAGACATGGTTCTCTATGTAATCCTGGCTATCCTGGAACTCACTCTAGACCAAGCAGGCCTCAAACTCAGAGATCCGCCTATCTCTGCCTCTTGAGTGTTGGGATTACAGGTGTGCATCACTATGCTCTACCTAGAATAAATCTTAAAAAGACATTCAAAAATTTTTTTACCTTTATTTTTTTGAGAGTATGTGTGCCATGGCACATATATAGAGGTTAGAGGGCAATTTGAAGGAGTCAGTCTGATGGTCTGAGGTCAATTCCGGGCACCAACATGATGTAGAAGATAAATGATACCTGATAACCTCCACACATGTGCAGCAAGCATGCACACCCTCCCCAATAAATAAATAAATGTAACAAAAATTAGGACATTAAAAAACATACAAAATAAAATACAATAAACAAAACTAAGACAAAAGAATAATTGCAAGGCTGGAGAGACAGCTCAGCGGTTAAGAACACTGGCTGCTCTTTCAGAGACCTGGTTCAACTCCCAGCACCAACATGGCAGCTCACAACTGTCTGTAACCCTGTTCCAGAGGATCCAATGCCCTCATACAGACATACATATATGCAAATCACCAATGCATATGAAATAAAAATAAATAAATCATTAAAAAGTTTTTTTTTTTTTCCTGGTTTTTCAAGACGTCTTTGGAGTCTGTCCTGGAACTCGCTTTGTAGAACAGGCTGGCCTCGAACTCACAGAGATCTACCTCCTCTGCTTCTGAATGCTGAGATTAAAGGCATGTGCCACCACCACCTGGTCATAAAAAAGTTTTCTAAAAAAAGAAGAGTTGATTCTTAAACTTTTGGGTAAGATTAATTATAGAAATAAAATACAAATTTGCAGGGCTATAGCATAGAACACTGTAACAGCAGAAGCCTTAAAAATGAAGAAAAACACAGTAAAAGAAAACAAGAAAAAAAATAAAACAAACAAGGTAAGTATGATATCCTAGAAGCTAAGTTTAATAAAGCAAAAGCACTACAAGGAGGAAAGCAACGTAACTGTCAAATACCTCTCTGGGTCGAATAGGATCAACTTTGGGTTTAGGAGATGTCAAGGAATTCTTCAGAGTTCAGAGTCACAGCTTGATTGATAAAGTAAGCCTTGGGAGTTGGGTGGCCAACAAATTTAAGACCTTACTTGTGAAGTGCAAGACTAGGAAACGAATGATGACAAAAGCTATTGAAGGAATTCTGTGGTCGGAAAACCAGCTACGGTGTAAAGGAAAACCCAGGAAAAGCCAAACCAAGACTTATTTCAGTAGAGGTAGGCAGGCAGAGTAGGAAGCACACACACTTGAGATTCAAACTGTCCAAGCACAGAACAGGTTCTAAGATCAGCTGGCTATCACTCCTAGAAAATCATTTCTGGGGCTGGACAGATGGCCTTGCAGTTAAGAGCACTGGCTAACACCCACATAGCAGCTCGAAACTGTATGGAATTCCAGTCCTAAGAGATGTGATGCCCTCTTCAGGCACAGGCACACAAATGGTACACATACATCCAGGCAACGCATTTGTACACACAAATAAAAGGAATGTCTTTTGGGACAGGGTATGGTGGCATACAGCTTTAATCCCAGCACTCTATAGGTAAAGGCAGAAAGAAGAATCACTGTAAATTCAAAGTCAGTCCCTCCACATTGTGAGTTTCAGGCCAGGCAGGGCTACAAAACTAACTAAAAACAAAACAAAAACAAACAAAACACAAGAAAAGAAAAAGAAAAACCATTTTCTTAACTAGGTATGGCGACTCACATCTGTAATCCCAACACCCAGGAATCTGAAGCAAGAGGACTATGGAGACACCAAAATAAGTAATGCTTATGTAAGTACAATAAATACAACAGGTGCTTAGAAACACCTGCCCCATAGGAATACTGGGAAAGTATACTGGCTGTTTCTTGGATCCATTACTTGGCCTTATAGCCAAAAGCCAAGCTAAACTCATGGTAACACAAAACTGAAATAACCATTTTAGACATGACTCTTAGCAATTACACTAAATTGGATTTTTGTTTTGTTTTGTTTTTGAAGACAGAGTTTCTCCAAACATTCCTGGTGTCCTGGAACTCATTCTGTAGACCATGCTGGCCTTGACATCAGAGATCAGCTGCCTGCCTCTGCCTCCTGAGTGCTGGATTAACGGCAAGCACCAGCACCACCCATATAAATTGGATAAATTCTAACAAAAGAGACAGGCAATCTCAGTTCTTTTCCTTCAACCTGTCTTATTTTTGAGCTGTCAAATCAGTAGTCAAAGAAACATCAACCTTTGTACATACCTGGATAAAGAAGTTCTAAGGAGCCTTTGTCTGTTTTGAGTCAGTTATGTAGACCTGACTTGCCTGGTCCTTGCTATGTAGCTCAGGCTAGCCTCAAAACCTCTGTCTCAGTCTCCTATGCTATTACAGACATGAAATACCATGCCTTATTTTTTAAAGTGTTTTTAAATTATTTACTTGTTTACGTGTATGATTTTATCTACATGTATGTCTAATGCCTGTAAATGCTACAAGAAGACATCAGATCCTCTAGAACTAGTTACAGATGGTTGTGAGCTGCCACGTGGGTGTGATGGGGGTTGAATGAGGCCAGGTCTTCTGCAAGGATAGCCAGGGCTCTTAACTGCTTAGCCATCTATCTCTCCAGTCCAAATGTTTTAAAACATTATTACTATTGTTGCTGTTGTTATTAATATTATTTGTGACAGGGTCTAAGTAGTCTTAGCTAGTTTGGAACTCAGTATGTATACCAGGCTGGACTCAAATTCTGAAATCTGCCTGCCTCTGTCTCCAGAGTACTGGGATTAGAGGTAAGCACTCTAACAAATGAACTCCATCCACAGGCCCCACTGGACATTTGAGACAGGGTCTTACTATGTAGCCCTTGCTACCTAGAACACACAGAAATTCACCTCCCTCTGCCTCCATGAGTATGCTTGGCCCCGCTGGACTTTTATTTGATACTACTAGCCTAATGTAAGCCTTTCCACTATACAATGATTTTCCATGCCTTGTTTCATATAATAGACAGTTATCCTAGTGAGATCTTGTGGAAGTAAACAATTGACCGTCAGACAAAATACATTTTTAAGATCTAACCTTCAAATGTCCTTTGCCCGTAAGGAATTCAGAGTAACCAGCATCTGTGGCCAGCAAACCTACAAACTGCATGCTGGGCCGCTGCTGTATAAAGGCTTCAACAGCTTTGTCTGTCACATGCTTCCTCCCTGAAACATCCAGGGAGACAAGATTAGGCAAAATGTCCTTTTGTTCTAACAATCGCAGGGCTATGTCTGATGTGAACTGTTTATCATCTGAGATGTCAAGATGATTCAGATGTCTTAGTTCCCGAACAACATCAAGGATCTGGGTAGTAGTCATTTTTAAACATTTCAGATGGTGCATGGTGAGAGACTTGAGTCGGTCTTTGCAGGCCAGCAGGGCAGTGATATCTGTGATTGAGGTGTTAGAAATATCCAGGCTTTCCAGTCTAGGCAAGGAAGCAACTTCAGCCAGATCTTCATTGTAGAAGAGGACATTAGTGATGCTCAGAGCTCGAAGACCAGAAAGTCGGCTGAAACAGCGCTCATACGGATCCTCGAGGGACAGAGTTAATGAGTTTAGTACTAAGCACTGAAGATTTTGCTGGATCCACTTGTTACTGCCAAGGCCACTTATGATATCTGTGATAGTGATGTCGGCATTCACACCTGTGGCATCAAGTTCTACTAACTTATGGTGGCAGAAGGCTTTCCGGAAAGCAACAGCGGAAATCTTTGCTTTGCGAATGCAAGCTCGCTTTAGGCGCATCTGATTACCCCTGAAAATTCCCACAGTTCCATCATTCAGCAGACCTAGGGGAAAATAAGCAGTATTTTAACTTAAAAACAAAACAAAGAAGCAAACAAAAATCAGTCAAAGAATAGCAAATATTTCCGTCACATTTTAAGTTTCTAACATAATTCCACGTAACTGTATTACACTTGATACAATTCTGTGAGATGAAGATTCTATTACTTAGACTGAGATTCAAAAGGGGACTTTCCAAGATTATGGAGCTGGTAATAGCAAACAGATTCACCAACACCTGTTTGTCTTCACTCTGAGACTCACAGGCAGCTGTGATCCCCAGTGCTTCCTTACAATTAGATATACCACATATAGTCAAGGGGCTGTAGGCTTAAGCACCCGAGTGTCAACTATGATTCCCCACACTCTCTTCTCCTTCTGGGACAAAGGAGAAGCTTCAAGTTCTAGAGAGATTGTATTATGAAGGCTGAGTGTCTACCAACCTGAATACTAATGTAACTAAAGAAAGGGAATCTTCAATGGACCTTGCAGAGTTTATATATGAGCAAGGTTTAAACTTTACACTAACATATTGATACCAATATATTTCTAGACTATCTTTTAAATTCACAATACATTATTACATATATAGGCATACACACAATATATTTAGTAGATATAATGGCTAGAATTCATTGTTAAACTATTAGTCAGAGCTAGGGATGACGGCACAGACCTTGAATCCCAGCACTCAGGAGGCAGACGCAGACAGATCTCTATGAGTTCGAGGCCAGCTTGATCTACACAGCCAGCACTGCATAGAAACCCTGCCTCAAAACAAACAAGCAAAAAATCCACTAGCCAGATCTGAAACCTTTTTATTTTGGTTTAGTGTTTTTGAAGCCGTTGTTGTTTTGTTTTGTAGATGGGTATCTGTGTTTACCAGACCTGGCTGCCCAAAACTTGCTTTGTAGATCAGGCTGGCCTCAAACTCACAGAGATCCACCTGCCTCTGCTTCCCCACTGCTAGGATTTAAGACTTGTGCCACCACACCCCGTGTGGCTTAGTTCTTAAATTTTTAGAAATTGTACTTATTTATTCATGTGTGTGCACATATCTGCACATGTCATGGCATAAGTGTGGAGGTCAGAGGACAACTCTGTGGGGTTCGTTCTTTCCTTCTACATGGATCCCCAGAAAAGAGCTCAGGTCTTAGGCTTGGCAGTGGTGCTATTTATCTAGGGAGCCATTGGGTCAGCATCTGGCGTTTTGTTTGTTTTTGAGACACAGTCTCACACTTTATCTCTGACTGGCCTCAAACTTGTAAACAGGGCTTGAAACACTGGCCAAGCAGTGGTGGCGTATGCCTTTAATCCCAGCACTTGGGACACAGAGGCAAGTGGATCTCTGTGAGTTCAAGGCCAGTTACAGGACAGCCAGAGCTACACTAAGAAACCCTCTTGGGGGGGGAAAAAGAAAAGAAAAGATCTGGGCATGATAGTACACACATGTGATCCCAATACTGGAGAGACTGAGGCAAGGAGATCATTTTGAGTTCATTACTTAGTTAAACCCTCTGCCTCAAACACACACACACACATGCACACGCAAACACACACTAAAGTAGAATAAAGTTTTTTTCCTGAAGAAAGAGGGATAAACAAACAAATGAAGAAATTATAGGATAAACACACACACACACACACACACACACACAAAACAGAGCAAAGTGAAAGCCTCTTAGAAATGCTGGGCCGTGGCAGTGCACACCATTAGTCCCAGCACTCAGCAGGCAGAGGTGGAAAGATCACTTGAGTTTGAGGCCAGCCCGGTCTACAGAGCTAGTTCTAGGACAGCCAGGGCTACACAGAGAGACCCTGCCTCGAAACAAAAAAGGAAATGGCCTATCAGACAACAGTGCTACAGAATATGACACTATGGAGCCATATCTCAAAAATATTACATATTAAACAATACCTACTAAGAAAGAAGTAACAGCCATACCTACAAAATGTACTCTAAGAACAGTCTGTTGCTGTAGCATTTGGAGCAAGATAAATCAATACCATGGGGTTTAAAGACAAAATTTTATGGTCATATCAGTTAGTTCATACTAACAATGCCATTCAGGCTGCTGGACAGTTATTATCAAATCAGAACTAAGGCAATTTTGTCTAAGAGCTGTTGTTAAGTGGAGGAGCTCTTACCCAGCATATTCAAATTTTAATTATTGTAAGACATTCAAAAGGCTTCATGAAACTTGTCACGTTGAACAAAAATTGAGTCAAGCAACCAACAGGGTATTAATAGTTCAGCAACCAATTGACACCCAGAGTTGCAATAACACGCCCTTTCTTATCAATGCACCTGCAACCTGCTAACCCTACACACACCTGCACTCAGCTGCATATACGCCTGCTTTAACAATAAAGACAAGTTAGTCTTCTTAGCAATCCCTAGATAACACCTGTTTCTACTCAAACACATCGTGAGATGCATCCAGTATCTGGGCCTATTCAGCCTGGACAGGTTGTAGGTACATAACCATCAGGACAAACTGTGTCCTGAGAGACCTTTGTTGTTGTTGTTGTTTTTATTAATGTTTGCTTGTTTTTTTGTTTTTCAAAACAAGGTTTCTCTTTGTTTTTTGGGTTTTTTTTTATATCTTCTTAAAAAATACTTATTTACTTATTATGTATACAATAGTCTGTCTACATGTTTGCCTGCAGGCCAGAAGAGGGCACCAGACCCTATTACAGATGGTTGTGAGCCACCATGTGGTTGCTGGGAATTGAACTCAGGACCTTTGGAAGAGCAGGCAATGCTCTTAACCACTGAGCCATCTCTCCAGCCCCAAGGTTTCTCTTTGTAACGCTCCAGCTGTCTGGGAACTCTCTCTTTAGACCATGCTAGCCTCAAACTCACAGAGATCCCCTTGCTTTGCCTTCTGAATGCTGGGATCAAAGGTGTGTGCCACCACTGCCAGGCAGTCTGAAAGTTCTTTTAGGAAGAATCCCTCACTTACTATCTTATGCTTAGACATAATTGGGCATGCACATGATTAAAATCAGTTGCATCAGCTGGGTGGTGGTGGTGCACGACTCCAAAGTTACATAGAGAAACCCTGTTTCAAAAAATAAAATAAAATAAAAATCAGTTGCATCATGCTAAGGGATGTGTAGTAGACCAAAGGCAGTACAACAACCCAGTCAATCAACACAGATAACCCCCCTCACTCACATCTATAACCAGCTCCTCCTTCCACTGAACTCCATAAAGTAAAGCCCCAAACAGTAACAAACAAGACCGTTCAGTACTCTCCCACTCAGGTAGTCCCATCTCTCTTGGTAGTGTATCTGTGTATCTAAAACTTGAACTTTTTATTTTGCTATAATGAATCTTACTGGTTTTTTTTTTTTTTTTTGGTTTGCAGATCTCTGAGTTCAAGGCCAACCTGGTCTACAGGGTGAGTTCCAGAACAGTTAGCCAGGACTGCACAGAGAAACCCTGTCTCCAAAACCCAAAAACAAACAAATTTTAAAAACCTAGCAACAGAAAAGAAACTAATATAACACAAAACTGAAACTTTTTTTTTTTTTGAGATAGGTTTTCATGTAGTCCAGACTGAACTCAAACTCTCTCTGTAGCTGAGGAAGACCTTGAAGTCCTGATTCTCCTGTTCCGGCCTCCCAAGTGTTACAGGCATGTGCCAATACACCTAGCTTTTATTTATTTTATTTTTGGAGTGTATATGCATGTTATACTGTACATGTGGAGTAAGTCAGGTTTTTCCTTTCACCATATGGGCCCGTGGAACTGAACTAAAGGTCATCAGCTTTGGCAGCAAGTACCTTTACCCACTAAGCTATTTCAGGGGCCCATCACACCTGGCTTTTTATTTATTTTTAATTTTTTAAATTGTTTTTACTGAGCTATATATTTTTGTCTATTCCTCTCCCTTTCCCAGGGGCCCCATGCTTCCAATTTACTCAGGAGATCTTGTCTTTTTCTACTTCCCATGTAGATTAGATCCATGTATGTCTCTCTTAGAGTTCTCATTGTTTTCTAGGTTCTCTGGGATTGTGAACTGTAGGCTGGTTTTTCTTTGATTTATGTCTAAAAGCCACTTATGAGTGAGTACATATTTGTCTGAGTCTGGGTTACCTCACTCAATATGATGTTTTCTAGATCCATCCATTTGCCTGCAAATTTCAAGATGTCATTTTTTTCTGCTGTGTAGTACTCCATTGAGTAAATGTACCACATTTTCCTTATCCATTCTTCGGTCAAGGGGCATTTAGGTTGTTTCCAGGTTCTGGCCATGACAAACAATGCTGCTATGAACATAGTTGAGCATATGTCCTTGTAGTATGATTGAGCATCTTTTGGATATATACCCAAAAGTGGTATTGCTGGATCTTGAGGAAGGTTGTTTCCTAATTTTCTGAGAAATCGCCATACTGAAATCCAAAGTGGCTGTATCAGTTTGCACTCCCACCAGCAATGCAGGAGTGTTCCCTTTACCCCACATCCTCTCCAGCATAAGTTGTCATACTTTTAAAACAAATTTTGAGACTGAACATGCTGAGCATGATCACTGAGAAATACTGGTATTACATAATCTCTTAAAATGTTGCACAGCATTGTAAGCGACTTACTTTTAATATATACTACTTATTGATAGTTATTCTGGTTCCTGTGTCAGAATGCGAGTTAAGCAAATCAGTGAAAATAATCAAATATAGAGGTTTTCTTTTCTAAATTATACCAAATAACTCAATTACAGCTCCATTTTCTTATTCTTCTTTGGGATGCATAATATGCATTCACACCTAACAATATTTTTCTTTCTTTTTCTTCTTTTTTACTTTAATATGGGTGGGGGTAAAAAAGCACATGCAGAGGCCAGAGGAGATTTTCCAGTCTTCTGTTGTTAGTCTTCTATTGTTCTCAGTCTTCTTCCTGTGCAGCAGGGTCTCTTACTGAACCTGGAGCGAATGGTTCTTCTAAGTATTTATTTTAAATCAGGGTGGCAACAGTAATCCTTTTGTCTGCATTCCTTACCAAGTGCTGGGTGTAGCCACACCTGGCTTCTCGTATGACACTGGGGATCCTAATGCTGAAGTACTTTATGTTGTTGAAGTCCATTACCCACTGAGCCACCTCCAGCACCCAACAGTATTTTTCATACACATGTATGTGAAGCAGAGGCAGACGATCTCTTGACTTTGAGGCCAGCTTGGTCTACAGACTGAGTTCCAGGATAGCCAGGGCTACACAGCGAAACCCTGTCTCAAAAACAAAACAAACAAACAAACAAACAAAGAACAACAACAGAAAAGAGTCAAGACCAGAAACCAGTTTTTTCATAATAGTATGATTCTCCCACTGTCAATAGAAGATGTAAGGTATTTCTATACCCGTTGACGTCTATGTAGAAATACTGTGGTTAGAAAAGTTCCTTTTGCTATAAGAATCACTTTTTAGGTGTTGGAGAAATGGCTCAGTGGTTAAGAGCATTTGACATGTCTATAGAGGGTCAGTGTTCAGATCCCAGCACCCACAAATACTCACAACCGTCCCTAACTCCAGTTCCAAGGGATCTGACACCTTCTTCTGATCTCCATGGGCACCAGGAACGCACATGGTGCACATACATACAAGCAGCCAGAACACTCATCCACATAAAATAAATAAATCTAAATATGTGTGTGTGGGTGTGTGTCTATTTTAAAAAATTACTTCTTAAATCAAAAAAGAAAAATAATGGTTTGCCTAGACTGGAAAGGAAAAAAAAAAGTATTAAATCTGAAGCAAAAACAGGTCAGTAACTGAATTCCTTTTCCTAGAATCAGGCTCATCTGACTTTTTCTACTATTTCTAAGAAAACAATTAAAGGGGCCACAGCAGTATTTTCCAATCCAATGCCAATTAACAGCACACAATTTGTGTCTTCCATCTTTCATCATTTACCATGAAATGCCATGGTCTGAAGCAGTCGGTCAGCCACCTCCTGTGGAAATACTCCGGGTTCCTGCAGACACAGTGTTCCGTCTTGTCTTGCTGAACAGAACTTCTCAAGGTTAGTGGTCAGGAAACTCAAACAGATGTCAAGTAAGGAATAGGGAGATGCTTCCTCCTTGGAACACAGGAAAGAACATAAAGAAAACACAAACGCGAACAAATTAGTTTCCAGAAAAGTGGGGAATAAAACGCTTATTTACTCATTCAATAACTATTTATTGCCTATGAGACAGACAAATAAATACCATGACAGCAACAGATACTGTGTTAGGCAGTAGGACATAGTCTGTTATGTGCATCTCAGAAGAACAGACATCCTGAAACAAATCTCCACCATCCCTAAAGTACTAAAAGGGAAACCACACTGGGTACGTGTAAACACCCAGCTGGTTCTAACCAGTCAGAGGCAGATAGGGAAGGCCTCAGAGGAAGGGCAGATTAGCCCTCCTAAGTCGTCACCACGACACGCTATCAGGTCTTCATAGGCTCTCCCCACACTAAAGACAGCACTCCTTTTTCTTGTCTTTTGAGACAGAGTCTCACTGTGTATCTACCTCTGGCCGGACTAGAACTCAATATGTAGATGAGGCTGGCTTGGAAATCAGAAATCCACCTGCTTCTACCTCTGGAGTACTAAGACTAAAGGTGAGCATCACCACGCGCAGGCACAAAGCCAAAAATTCTTAAAACTGTTGACTTTCCTATCTGAATCCTTCTGTGCTGTCTATGTCCACTTATAGACACACAAACTAGAGTTATCTGACTGGACAGAACCTTAATAGAGAAATGCAGGAAGAAAAGGTTTGTCTTCCTTAGCTCACAGTTCCAGATTTCAGTACATCACAGGTCAGTCAAGGTGTGAGGAGCTTAAAACTGCTCACATCACATCTACCATCAAGAGCAGAGGGACGAGTCATACACATTTGGTACTCAGCGACCCTTCTCGACTCTTACACAGCCTCATTTTTTTTTTAATGTTCATTGGTGCTTGCCTGCATGTATGTCTGTGTGAGGATGTTGAAAGTTCTGGTACTAGAGCTACAGGTAAGTGTGAGTTGCCATGGGGGTGCTGGGAATTGAACCCAGGTCCTCTGGAAGAGCAGTCAGTGCTCTTAACTGCTAAGCCTACTCTCCATCCCCATCATTTATTTTATTTTTATTAACATGTATGAACATGACACATGTTCGAGGATGCCTGAGGAGGCCAGAAGGCATTGGAGCTGAAATTACAGGTGATTGTCAGCTGCCTGATGTGAGCACTGGGCATGAACTCAGGCCCTCTAGAAGAGCAGCAAATACTCTTATCCCCTCTGAGCCATCTCTCCAGCCCACATTTCATTAAGAAAAAAAAAAAGATTAGGAACTCTATGCAGCCCAAGTGGATGTCTAACTTTCAATCTTTCTGCCTAGGTCTCCACAGCCCTAGGCTTATAGGTGTTTATCACTATACTTGGCTGTGAAATGCATTTTTTTTTTCGAGACAGGGTTTCTCTGTGGCTTTGGAGCCTGTCCTGGAACTAGCTCTGTAGACCAGGCTGTTCTCGAACTCACAGAGATCCGCCTGCCTCTGCCTCCCAAGTGCTGGGATTAAAGGCGTGCGCCACCATCGCCCGGCCTGCATTTTTGTTTTTTGAGATAGGGTTTCTCTATGTAACAGCCCTGGCGGTCCTGGAATTAGCTCCTACAGACCAGGCTAGCCTCAAACTCACAGAGATCTGCCTGTCTCTGTCTCTGGAGTGCTGGGATTTAAGGCATGCAAACACTACAGCCCGTCATGAAATGCATTTTTTATTAACATCTTTTTGAAGGACTAAGTAATATCTTGTACTTGGACTCCAGTTGTCTGGATTAAAATGCCATTTACAAAACTATGTAAACTTATTAGGTAAAGGATTTAGTCTTCCTGTATTTCAGTTCATGATCTAGAAAAATGCATAAAGCAGTTCCTACCTCATGAGACTGTCTGTTGTCAGAAATAAATACACTCTAAATACAGCACTCCTGAAGTAGTGCCCAGCATGTACTAACTGCTGAGTCAGTGCTTATTATAGAATGTAAGTTCCACCAGGAAAAAAAATGTTTTGTTCACTGATACAGTCATAAGCCTAAAATAACACCTACTACATCATAGCAACAGATGTGCATTAAAGAGTGAATTGTCAAGCACACATATACTGTTAGGTGTACTTCACACCTAAAGAAAGGCTACCTATGTAGCACCATGGTAGAGCATGTCCCTATTATACAGAATACTTAGATTCAATTCTGATCGTGACAGATAAAATAAAATGCTACAATATTTGAGCTGAGGATAGAGCTAAGTTGTAAAGCCTTTGTCTAGTACCCAGAGATACTAAGTCACGGGTTAGAACTGAAAGGTGGACAAGCATTACCGAAGCGCACACATACCCATCCTGACTTCTACCACCATACTTCATAAGAAAGCACCTCTTGGTTCTTTGCAGTGCTAGGGAAGGGATTATACAAGCACAATGTCACTGAGCTATAGCCCCCCCCCCATCATTCTGTACCAATAATTCCATCAAGTCAGGCTTCTAGAAATAAGCATCTGAGACCAGATGTAATCAAATCCTCTATTCTACCCCTTTCTGACACCTTACAAAAGAAGAAGTCAATAAGTAGTCTCAAGGACATAGATGATATCATCCTCAATACAGATGTTAGGGGCCGAAGAAATGGCTCCATAGTTAAGAGAACTGGCTGCTCTTCCAAGGAACCTGGGGCAACTCAACTCACACTTGTCTGTAACTCCAGTTCTGGGAATCTGACACCTTCACAGAGACATACATGCAGGTAAAACACCAATGCACATTTTAAAAAAAGAATGCAGATATTATGAACTACTGGAGCAGGGTTTTTGTTTGTCTGTCTTTTTGTGCTTGTTTTTGAGATGGAGTCTCCTACCACAGCTGGAGCTGAATTCAGAGACAGCACTCCCCCACCTCCACCCCCAGTGCTGGGATTAAAGGCGTGTGACGTGACAGCAGGCTCAAACCCAGAATCACGTCTCCTCCGCGCTATCGAATGCTCTACTGCTAAGCTATCCCCAGTTGCTTTACTAAAAGAAATCACTAATTACTCTTTAGAAACTCTTAGATTAAAAATTAAATTTTCTGCATGCATCACTTCAGAACCTAGCCAATATGGCAAGTAGCTATGTCCTAAAGGGCAAGGAGGCAGAGTTCTAGCAAAAAAGATCAAGGTCTCAAACAGTAATCAGTCTCCTCCCTGCTTCCTTCTTGGGTCATGTAGTAAAGCTATCCTAAGACATAAAAATTTAGGTCAGTAATTACTGGGCATTTATGGATCATACTGAGTGATAACATAGAGATGCCTCAGCATTATTTCCCTCCTAGCCACAAGTCTGAGTTTTAAAGTACAACAGAGTTCACAGATACAGGTTTAATAACATAAAGAGCAGTTATGGGCTTTGCCACTTATTAGTTATATGGTCTAAGGAAAAGCAATTAACTTCTAAGTTTCCTTATCTGAAGAAGTGAAGCTAGACCTCTACTTTATCTCATCAGACCGTAGTTTGGAATAGACGGGATGTGTGTAAAACTAGCTCTAAAATACTAAAGTAAGCAAGGCATGATGGCGCACACCTGTAATTCTAGCAAAGGCAAAGTCAAACAGAAGGAATGAAAAGTCAAGGCCACCCTGGGTAACACAGCAGGTTTAAAGCCATCTAAAGCTGCATAGTGGGTGTAAATCTCAAACCAAAGACTACCTATGTAGCACCGTGGTAGAACACGTCCCTATTATACAGAATACTTGGATTCAATTCTGATCATGACAGATAAAATAAAATGCTACAAAATTTGGGCTGAGGATAGAGCTAAGTTGTAAAGCCTTTGTCTAGCATTCACAAGGGCCTGGGTTTGATCCTCAGCATTACAAAAATCCAGCCAACCAATCAAGAGCCTTTATGTTATTAGCAAATATGAACACCAGTGAAACAAGAGTCCTTGGTATGAAAAGTTTGATTAATACATTCTTCAAATCTAAGAAGTCAAGTTTATGAAAAACTTAAACTCTTTAACAGTAATTACCTTTAATTACCTTTCTTTACGGAACAGGAGAGCCAGGCTTAGCATTTGGAAGGGAGAAACAGAATGAGCGGGAGTTCGAGGACGGCATGAGCTACAGGAGACTCTAACTCATAAATCAATAAAAAAATTATTTTTTTCAAGACAGGGTTTCTTTGTGTAGCCCTGGCTGTCCTGGAACTCTCTTTGTAGACCAAGCTGTCCTGCCTCTGCCTCCCGAGTGTTGGGATTACAGGAGTGCATTACCACTGCCCAGCTAAAAATTCTTTAAAAGCAACCAAAAATTTAATAAAGTTAGAAAATGCTAATAGTCTAATACTTAACTTTTGCAAGAACTTTGTTTAATGAATAAAGGATTTTATTACATTTATTTTTATTCTGTGGTATTTAGTAATTCTGTTGTTTTGTGGTCCTGGAACGCTAACCCTGTGCCTTGCACATGCTGAGCAAGTGCGCTAAGATTGAGCTACACTTTAAACCCCGTGTTGTTTGGGTTTTGGGTTTTTTTGTTTGTTTGTTTTGTTTTGAGAAAGGGCTCACGATGTAATCCAGGCTGGCCTCAAACTCAAGATACTTTCCAAATATTGGGATTACAAGTGTGTACTGTTTTTAATAATTTCATAAATCCCTAACGGCAGTTTATACAAAACTGAGAATCAGTAAGCAAAATTCTAACACTAACATAAATACACCCTTCTCTCAACTCCACACTATAGAAAGCGAGGTCACTATAGAAAATGCACTTAGTCTAGCCAGGCAGTGGTGGTGCACGCCTTTAATCCCAACACTTGGGAAACAGAAGCAGATGGGTCTCTGTGAGTTCAAGACCAGCCTGGGTTACAGAGCAAGTTCCAGGACAGGCACCAAAGCTATACAGAGAAACCCTGTCTCGAAAAACAAACAAAAAAAAAAGAAGGATGGAAGGAAGAAAAGAAAGAAAAAAAATGCACTTAGCCGAAGAGTGGCATGCCAGGTCCTTGCAGTTTGTTTTCTTATACTCCTTCTTCCAATTTAAACCACACTACTGGGCTGGTGATACAGCTCA